CTATCTATCTCCTTGGTACCTAAACCAGCATCACCGTTAGATAACCATCTGTGTGCATTAGACTATAGGTTAAAAAACAGAATTAAAAGGATGGAAGAGTTTGGATCCTTCAGCTTTAATTTTAAGCTCAAGATGAAGTCTTAGACCTGTTTGGTTTGAGCCTAAGCAGGATGTGATTTATTGCCCACAAGGATGCTGAAGAAGTGGTCTTTAAGCGGTACCACAGGTAACCCCCAAATGTGACTCTTTTACATACTTTTGCCCAAAACAATAAAGGAAAAGGGATATTCAGCACTAAATAGATTGCTCTTCCTGTGTGCAAGTGGCTTGCTCGCAAAGAGGAAACCCTAAAAGGTCCATAACAGAGAGCTAGAGCTCTCATAGATCATAAAATCCCAGACTGGCTTGGGTTGAAAGGGATTTTAAAGCTCATCCAGCTCCAACCCCCAGCCCCTTCCTGGCCCTGGAAGCCCCCAAGCTGGACATGGTCCACATCCTCATGTCCTTTAAGGATGGTTGGATCCGATAACCCTGGAGCCCTCTTTTCCTCTAAGAGCGATCTGTTGCTAGATAAATTAGTTGCTCTGTGTTAATTAACCAAATGCTCCAAATCCTGCCCTGTCCTCAGGCCCTAGGAGAGGGTGGGAAGTGCTTCTGATTTACCAGGCTGCTAATAAATACACCCCAAAGCACAAATGCAATAACATTTTGGGGGTTGGTTTTTATACTCTCCTCCAAACCGCGCATCCCAGGGCACTTTGCATCCCTCATCCCCACAAGTAAGCATCCCCCATGCAGGCAGAGCAAGCAAACACCTTTTCCTCACTGGAAAAAAACCTGCAAAAAGAGGATTTTTGGTGCCCAGCTGGAGAGTTTGCAGTGAGCTGGAGGACAAATAGTGTTATTTGGAGGCTTAACATGCAAAGCAAGGGGCTAAAACCTCATCCAGGTTGGATTTCATCCCTGCGTCTGATCCGGTGTCGGGGATTAGAGGAGTTGCATCACTGAGCGAACAGCACCACCTCCCGTCTGAACCCAGCCCTGTGTTGTACACCAGCGGGAGGGAATAAACAAGGAAAACCGGGATTGTAATGTAGGAAGCATGGGATCATCCCTGCGGTATTTCTGAGCTCGGGCTGCACATCAGGGCTATGAGTGGAGGATGCTGGTGGTGAGGTCTGGACACTGAAGCATAACCTGGGCAGGTAGGGATGCAAAATACATGGTGGGAAAAGGCAGATTGGAGCCTGTGCCAGGTTCATTGCTGCTTTTAAACAAAGACATCGAAATAACCTGTGAGCCCATTATGGGAAGAGTTGGATTTGTCTAACCTAAAAGCTGTCCCTAAGGCAGCAGAGAGATCACAGCTACTTGGACAGCCATAAGAGCATCAGCCTCGTGTGAATCCTGTGCTCACCTGCACCCAAAATGCTGTTAAACCCCTCAGGAACCAAACAACTTCTGTAACATATGGGAAAGTGTTGTATAAGAGCCCAGAAAATGAACATCCATCAGCCAGGGCTCCTTCTAACCCTTGGTAGGTACAAGACCTGGCTCAACTGCTCTCCTGGGGAGGTGAAGAATGGGCTGGAATTGGTCCTTTCCAACCCAAACCATGCCATGATAAGGATATTCATAACCCCCAAGTCCCCCTAATTCCAATGGGAGACATTCTGCTCACAGACATCCAGGCTCTAAAGGTGAGTGTCTTACCTGTTGGTGATTGTGCCTGCCCACAGGTCGTTGGGGGGGATCCCTAATACTGTGCTTGGCACTGGTTGAGCTGCCGCAGCTAAACCAGCTTTTAGGGAAGGTTTAAGCATCCAAGACAGGGACTAGAGAAGGAAATGCAGATGCTGGAAGTAAAAGCAACCTTCACAGCTCCTTTTGAGCTCTGCCCAGTGAGGGTTTGCATCCTCTCTGCCAAACACAAAGCACCTGAGGGAGGGTCAGCCCCACAGCTGGGTGTGTTTTGGGCAGGGGGGGCTAAAGATTGGGTCATTTGATCATATCAAAGCCAGAGAGACGGGATGGGATGAGATGACAGTTCTCAAGCATCATGCTCAATCCCTCCCTGCAAGCATCCCTCAAAGATGCAGCTCTTCTTCAGGTTGCTCCTGGTGCTAAACATGATGGATTTGGTTAAAAAAAAAGGAGAGGATGCCTCAAGGCCAAACTTTATTGCAAGGCAGACAGGTCCATTTTCGAGCCCCACATCGCTCCCCTGCACTGAGTCCCAGCACTCTTTTGGGGGGAAAGTGAAACCATGCACTGAGAAACTAGAACCAAGCACTGGCGGGGCTGATCCAGCATCTTCCCAGCTGCAAACATCCACACATTCGTGAAGGGTTGGACTTCCCATGTCCGTCCTCTCCCAGATGGGGGTTTGCAGGATCCAGGTGGCCCCACCGGCAGGGGGATGGATGCCCAGCTCCAGCAGGATCCCATCACACCGAAGAGGGGGAACCAAGGAGCATCTCTTCCACGTCCCCAAGCCACATCCAATCTCCCAGGGCAGCCATGTGGAACCCCGGCGGGCTCAGCCTGCTGGAGTCACCGCTTGCCCACGCTCAGCGCTGCAGCCCATGGTTCACGAAGCAGACCGCGGGTGCCAGCAGCAAGACGGGGCTGATGCCACCGCGCCGGTCCCCATGGGCTCTGTTGGGGGGTCCCCTCTTCACACCCATATCCGGCCACCCCGGAGCATGGAACCCACTGGCGGCCGCGGGCTGCCGCGCTGCGGGGATGCCGTGACCCAGGCGCGACGGCCGCGGGCGCCCCAGCAGCCCCATCCCGTACCCAGCGGCAGCGCCGGCCGCGATGGCCCCGGCCACCTTGGAGCCACGGCCGGGGCTGCCCCCGCCGCGGAAGCCCCCGCGCAGCCCCGCGCTGCCGCCGCCGCCACCTCCGCTTCGGGAGCCGGTTCTGCCCCCCCCGCCGCGGCGGCCGCCGGAGACGTCGCTGAAGAGGAAGAGGAGCAGCAGGGCCGCCCAGCGCCAGGCATCGCGGGGCCTCATCCTGCCCGACCTGCGGAGGGGGCACAGGCAGGGACACAGAGCATGGGGTCGGGCCAGCCCGCAGTGCATGACCATAGAACCATGGAACGGTTTGGGGTGGGAGGGAGCTTAAAGCTCATCCAGTTCCAACCCGATCTGGAAGAGCTTCTGCCTAAGAGCTCAGCTCAGTCTCCCCTCGGGCAGGTTCAAGCCATTCCCCTTGGCCTGTCCCTACAGGCCCTTGTCCCAAGCCCCTCTCCAGGTTTCCTGCAGCCCCTTTAGGCACTGGAGCTGCTCTAAGGTCTCCCCTTCAGGAGCCTTCTCTTCTCCAGGCTGCCCCAGCCCAGCTTTCAGTAATATAGTTAATATAATTAATGTATTATTGCACATATTTACCATATATTTCATTACTGTTGAGAGTGGGCGCTGTCAGCGCAGTATCACTCAAACCAGGGGAAGTTCAGGTTGGAGATAAGGCAGAAGCTCTTCCCTGTGAGGGTGCTGAGGCGCTGGCACAGGGTGCCCAGAGAAGCTGTGGCTGCCCCATCCCTGGCAGTGCTCAAGGCCAGGTTGGACACAGGGGCTTGGAGCAAGCTGCTCCAGTGGAAGGGGTCCCTGCCCATGGCAGGGGTTGGAGCTGGATGAGCTTTAAGGTCCCTTCATCCCAACCCATTCCATGGTTCTGTGACTTCCCAATCTGCACCTTTGTTTTCCCACCCCTCTTCAGCGCACAGGAGCATCACGCTGTGATTCCCCCCTACCCCGTCCCCCACCCTGCAGCACCCCCAGCCAGCAGCTCAGCAAACAGGCTCATTGTACCAAAGCTGCTGAGCCATCGAGGCCCCAAAACCATCCCCGATATAGCAGGAGCTGTGTTGACAAAAGCCTTTTGAACAAGCAGAGCCCCCCTGGCCGCAGCTCCCCTGTGTCAGCGTTTCCCTTCCATGGCCCCTGCTAGAAGGTGCCAGGCCTGAAACCCCCCCCTTTGGAATCCAGGACTTTGAAAACATAAAAATAGGGCTTCATTAATTAATTTGCCTCATTTTGCTGCCCTGAGTCCCCAGTTAATGTGGGTTGTTAGGAAGGAAGGCCTGGAGAAGGGTGCATCCGCCTTCCAGCTGTTTGCAACGGCATCGCCGCTTCTGAAACACCACAAACCTGGGCAGCAAACTCTGTGCAATTTAAGATGTGAGGATTTGCTTTCCTTCCTGTTTTTCCCCTCTTTATTTCCTCTACAGCATCCAAACATGGATCACAACCCAGGGAAAAGCCTGTTGCTGAAGCAGCCGGGCTGCGGTGCCTCCATGGGCTGCTCTCCCCATCCCAACCTCCAGCTCCAGTGCGTGCCAAAAACCTCTACTTCCCCCCTTGCTTCTACCCAATTCCTCCTCTTTTCATCCTCAGCTCCATGCCAAGGAAGCTGCCCTTACCGTGCACCCTGTGCCGCTCTTCCCGTCTGTGCCCGCTGAGCTCGACTCACTTTTCCCAATGGATAAAGCTTTGATAGGCGGAGCCAACGTCACTCGAATCCCTCTCCTGCGCAGGGAGGGATAAATGGGCTTCAATGGGCTGGATAACGCTGGGGAGAAAGCAAAGAGTGGATGGGGATAACCTTGGGGATGCAGAGCTCAGCCTCGAAGGGGCAAAAACCCCTTCATACATCAGCTGTAAACCAGGCTCAGCAATGCAGAGGTGTTCTTCTAGAGGTGAGTTTTACCTTATGGGAGAGAAAGAGCCAGAGGATGGAGCCCAACAACCGTGGTGCATGGGGCTAAATAGTCACTAATAGTCCCTAAACCCTACAACAGCCCAATATTCCCCCCCAGATCCTCCAGCAATTTGGTTGTGACTCTCCAAAAAGGGAGCATTTTCCCTTGGGAAACACCATTGGGATTCAGGCAGGTTTTGATCTTCCCCTTCATCACTCCTGGTCCCCATGGAGCCCATTTCAGCAGCGTTTCTACCTGCAAAGTGCTTTAGTTTGAACAAACCAGGCTCTAACTCGGGGGGGTTCATTCTGTATTAAGTTGCTTCATGTTTTGTGTCCTTCTTACCCAACCAAGCCATCCTTCACACACACAACAAGCTTTTCTCGCTGTACAATACTTCCCCTATCAATGTGTTCAAGGTGGAGAAGGTACCATTAAAATTAGACCCCGAACCTCACAAAGATGCATTGCAAAACCTCAAAAGGAGGGAGAAAGTCACGAGTTTTAGTTCACATCGAGGTATAAAATGGATATTGCTGGTTTAGCCCGTGAGGAAAGAGGTTTTTCCAGGTGTGATGGGGGTAACAAAGCCAGTCCTGGTCCTGGTGAGCCCAGGACAACGTGCTGCAAAACCCATGTGGAGAATAAACCCCTCTGTTTCTGCCTCCCCTCCTGCTTTCCATATAGCATCCCTCGGGAGATGCTCCTCACCACCCGCTATTCCCCTGAGCATATTTGGCATGTTACAGCTACCAGAGAGGTTTGCCATCGTGGGTTGCTTTTTCTTCCTTAACATTAGTGCAAATTAGAAAGGAGCAGGATGGGGGATATGAGACCAGATGCAGGTTAAGGGAATGTGCTGGGAAAACAATGGGATTTTACTCTTTTGCTGTAAATCCAACCCTCAGTCCCCAAGGTTCGTTTTCGGCAGCAAAAGTGTTAAAATCCACTCCATTTACAAAAGCTTCCTGTCACCTGTGAATTATTGCAATAGGAATGTGCTTTTTCAGGGGGGAAAAGAGGAATTCTTTGTGCTCTTGCCACCGAGGGGTGGATTCTATGCAGGGAGCCCCACATGGGCATCGCTGTAGCCAGGATCTTCCAACAGAGCCCAGAATTGCTTGTCCCCATCCTCAGTGGCTTCATCCTGCTCATGGATTTCCTCTTCCTTTTCCCCCTGTTATTTCCAGGGATTTGAGGTTTTTGGCTGAAGATGCCCAGAGCCTTGCTGGGAAAACTCCCATTTGGAGACAAGGAACCCTCCGAGGATGCTGCACAGATGAAGGCACGGGAGGATGGGTTGGCTCAGAGCCGGAGCGATCCGGGAGGACACTGGGAGCGCTCCGGGAATGACATGGGGTTGGGATTTGGTACAGTGCATCCTGCAGGCAGACGGCTCTTGGTGCAATGCAACCTGGAGCTGGTGAAGCGCTTCACATCGCCGTTGGACCTTCGGATATCTCCTCCAGCCTTTGCTCAATCATCAGCCGGAGGATGGAATACCTGGAGAGGCAAAGGACAAGGAAAAGAGGATTTTTGCAGCATCAAGCCAAGAAAACAGTGGAATAATGCACGGATTAGGGATAAAAAGCTGTGCAAATGAATGCTCAGCACCACAATAACCCCCCAACCATGTCCTGAACTCCCAGCATCTCCCCTTGATGCAGCTGAGCCCGGCGTACTTGCGCATCAGCTTCTTCACTTCGCGATCCTCCTCTTCGTCCAGCTTCTGGATGAAGCTCCTGAGGATGGGCATCTCGAATTTGATGTACTGAGCTACCTGGGTGGAGGAGGAACACCAAGCCAGGCCATGAAAAGGGCGATGCACCCACCCTTCAGCATCATCTGAATCATGTATATCTGATACATATATCTGATATATATATATGACATATATATATAAATTATATATATATATATGATAAACCATCTCCCCTGATTTAACTGGGGAAATCAAGGATCCCCATTGCCTTTCTCAACAAACCCTAAATGAAACCACGTTTCCCTGCACAGCCAGCTAATTACAGGGGACAAAACACACATAAACCTCATTTGCTTTACTCCCTGGCTGCAAGACTTGGCTCCTTCTTATGATGAGTCCGTGCAAACAGTGCTCTTTAAGCACAAATACACCCCAAAACCGCTTCGTTTCGCTCTGGTTTGAGGAGGAAGGTGGGAGGAAGCCGGCAGATGGCACAACCGAGCCATTCCCACCCCGCAGAGCGTTTCCCAGCAGGAAAGGTACCAATTATGCCCAAGGCTGTGCAGTTATTGCTGCTCTGTGCTCACATTTGGGGTGGTAAAACAGGGCTGCAGCGGTTTGCTCCTGGTTTAAAGCTGCTCTTTAGGCACAGGACAAGGCTTTTGCCATAAGATGGGGAGTTTTCACAGGGAGATGCAGGCTCAAAGCAGAGCAGAAGTGCATGAAAAGCCTTTTAGAAGCACTGTATGGAAAGAGCAGGCAGCTAACAGCAATTTGTGGCTAATATTCATGGCCTTTTTATTTAGGGAAGGTTTTGTATTTATTTCTATAGAAATAAATGCCTCCAGAAAGCTAAACTGAGCTTTATTCTTTGTGAATAACATTTGAGACCTTGCTGGTTTCACAGCAAACATAAGCAGGAGGTTGGAACTGGATGAGCTTTAAGCTCCCTTCCAACCCAAACCAGGCTGGGATTCAATGTCCACCCCCTATTCCAGCCCCAGCTGAATCCCAAGCCCACCCCATGCAGCAAACTCACATCATAGGTGACTTCTTCCACTTGGTCCTTCTCCATAAGGAAGACCTTGGAGATCTGCTCGCAGGGGCCCTGCAGGATGCGGGCGATCAGGGGGTAATCACTGCCCCGCAGCTTCTGCTTCTCTGCAATGCCAAAAGCACCGATGGATGTCCCAGTGTGTGATGGGCCTTTGCCATGGATGCATAGGGCAGGTTTTGGACACTCACCTCCACTGGTGTGGACAATGTAGAGCGCAAACTCCTCCGCTGAGTTCTCAATCTGAATGGAGACATAAATCACTGTTAAAGGGCCACACTTCCACCTGGGATTTCCCCATTATTTCACTCTGCCGTTGCGTTTTGGTATCCACGGGATAGAAACCCCCCCATGTAGAGCATCCCAGGAGCATCGGGGTGAGATACCTCAAGTACCTTGAACTTATTGAGCAGCAGTTTGAGGACCTGCGGGGTCGTCATGGTGCTGTTTATGCGGACGTTGGTCATGGAGCCGTAGGCCGGCGTGAACACGGATGTCTGTGGGATGCAAAGTCCATTTAAACCTTGGGTTTCTCCCACCGGGATCGGTGCTGGGCAGCGTGGGGCTCACCTTGTGGTTGTAGAAGTGCCCGTTGATGGAGAAGCGGTGCCGGCGGATGCGCCGCTGCTCGCTGGGGGTGCGGGCGCTGCCCCGGTGCCGGACCCCAACATCGCTCCGCGTCCGCATCAGCTGCGGCGTCTCCTCTGCTTGTGATTTGGTGCCTGGAAAAGACCGATCTGGAAGAGAGCCCTGAGGAGCCTCTCCCTGCTGGGAATCCCCCCATGGATGCGCATGTGGGACTGCCCAGCACAGATTTAACCCACCGGTTTAAACCATGGCACCTACTGGTTTATTCTCTTAAAGGAGGCCATTAATTCATAATGAACTGCTTAAGTCCAAGTTGCTACCTTGTCCCAGGGGCTGGAGCATCTTTACTTGCTTTTTCATTATCTAACTTCTGTATTTTTCTCTTTTCCCTTAATGAGAACAGACAAACGAGGCCAGCACCTCAGATCTCTGTGTGAAAACTGGCCTGGCTCCAGATTATTATAAACCAGCTCTTCATCCATTTTTAATGAACCTCTGGGGCTCAAGCTTGGATGTTTTCATTCCAAGCATGTCTGCAGCAAGACAAATCTCTCCTCTCCAGATGCTCACCACAGGCCACAGTGACTAAGCACTCAGGAGGAGCTGGGCACGCACGTTATGCACTGATTTGAACAGGCTTTTGGAGGGAGAAATGGGATAAAAGAGCTCTTTCTCATGCACTGGTGGAGGATTAACGTCATCGGGCTCAAATAGCTGCTGGGGTAGTTCTATGGTGCGGGTATCGCCAGGACAAGGTTGAATTAAGAGGCGGGGGGAATAAGTGTTGTGCATGGGGAGATCACAAAGAGAAAGGGGAAAAGCTGGAGGATGAAGGACAGGGCAAAGGGTTTCATGGGTCAGTGAGTTTTGCACTTCCCAAGCTGGGAAGTGGATGAGCATCCCGGAGCTGGAAGGATTGGCTGGTTCTTCTGTGGCTGCAGGGTGTATTTCCATACAAATATCATCACCATCTCCTCCCAAAAAAACACTTAAAAAAAGCCAGGAACACCTGCAAAGTGCCCTGATTTAATGGGAAAAATGCATAAAGCCATTTTTCCCAGTGGGAATTGCTGGTGAGGCACATTGTGCTGCCTTGTGCTCCAAACAAGGGGTTAATGAAGCGCCAGTGGATGGGCTCTTCCCCCTCCATACGAGGAGAAACCAGGGAGGGGAAAACACTTGGCAGCAGTGTTGACTTCCCCATGGCAACGGAACTTCCCAACAGCCCTATTCTTCTTCCCTAAAAGCAGAGCCTCCGGGAAGGGGAAGTGCCAACATCCTTTTCCCTATGATCCCACGAGGCTTTTTGCTCCATCCCCCTATTTCTTCCCAAGCTTCTCTTCATCGCATCCCTTCCCTGAGCAAAATCCCTTTGGAAGGGTTTTGGTCTATTGGGGCAATGGTTTAAAGGAACGTAGGGGACAACGGGGACATGATTGCTGGAGAAGATAAATCCCTGTTTTCTCCAACGGAACTGGAGCATAAAGCAGCTGCTCCCAATTCCCAGCCAAATCCATCCGGATCCGTGCCCAGCTCACCTGTACAGCTCCGGGGAGCCTCTGTGTTTGGCACAGCCTCTGCACCCGTGACCTGGATGTCTGGCAAGGTGCTGGGCTTCAGCACGGACCTGGCAATGGATAATGATGGATGCCCTGTTAGCAAAGAGCTGCAGCAGGAATGAGAACCGGGATAAATTCTCCTTTGAGCCCCCATGCTGCTGTTTCCAGGATGGAAGCAGCCTGTTCTCCCTCGGATTTGGCATATAGCCATCCCTTAGGGTTGCAGCACAAGCTAGATACCCCAGATAGTCACCCTGTCGTCCAAATTTGGATCCCAAATAGTCATCCAATAAGTCCCAAACCCCATCCTGTTCTGCTCCCCAAAACCCCTTTGGAGGCTCTTATCCCAACTGCCCTTCCCAGGAAGGGATGCTGAAGGCCGAAAGTGCCTTTTTGCGAACTCCAGCACCCAACCTGCACAAGCAAAGCTGAACCTTCCCCTTTTCCCCTCTTTTTCCCCCTAATTCCATGATCCTTCTCCCCCCGCTCACCCGTGCGCTCCCAGGTTGCATCCCGAGTGCCATGAGGAGGAGGATGGCGGAGGGCGGATGCGCTGGTTGTCATCCTGCATCTGCAGGCGGATGGGTCGCCGCAAGCCCCAGGAGATGTTCAGCAGCCCCTCCACGATGAGTTCACCTTCCTCCTGCATGAGAGATGGGCAGCTCAGGCTCCGAGACACAAGCAGCAAGGAATAATACCAGGAAATGATGCTTTTAGTGGGAATCCAACCCAATTCCATGGGGGTTTTGCTGCTGGGTGCCTGCCCCAAGGGGGTTTCTTACCTCCCGGTGCCGCAGCTGCAAGTTTTGTCCTTCATAGTAGATGTTGTACGTCTTCAAGTGTAAAAGCAGCTCATTTCTGGGAGGAAAAATGGGAAAGATGCTGAGAAAAGACATGGAGGAGCATTGGAAGCACTGTGCGGTACCCCTGAATTGTGGGAATGTGGGAGAAAGGAGGAATTGCTTCCAGTGTCAGGCTGGGTGATGAAGCCACATCACTGATGGGGGACCAAAACCAGCTTCATCTGAGGCAAATCTGGGTCTTTTGCTGCCTTTAGATACCCTTTGGTGGGGGTATTCATTGTGGATTCAACCCTTAGAGTAAGAAGCTTCCTGCAGCCATAAACCTTGTGAAAAGGCACAAGGAAACCTGTCAGACCTTGTGGGATGCGGTCACAAGGCTGGAAAAAGCAGTGTATTTTGGGAGCATCCAAGCCCTTGGGTCATGCTGCAGTCACAAGTTACCATAGGCGAGTTCATCCCATCAGCTCCTCGCTCCAGAGCCTGACCTTGGGCTCTGATGAAGCCTGAGCATTGCTCCAGTTGCAAATGAATAATGAACATTCCAAATAATCATTAAGGATAACCCATTCCCAGCTCTGGATCCCGGGAGGCGATGCCCTTGGCGTTCCATCACAAAGCTGTCCTTAACCTAGCTGGGTGGCTTGAGGATGCTCAGCACCAGCAGGCCGGTATACAGAAGCACAAAGCCCAGGGATTTGGGGTTTGGAGGAAGTAAAAAGAGGGGGGGAAATAGCACAAAGTTGCTTTATCTCCCCCAAAAATCCTCCTTGGAACCTGGGAAGCATTTCACTTCTTTGCCAAAGAATGAAAGAGCAATTCCTAATAGGGACTTTTAAAGCAAAACCTCAATTTCATGAACTCCATGAACTATTTCATGGTTTATAGAAGCATTTGGCCACGCTCCTAAGAAAAAACATCTCCAACCCCCATCAACAACCCCATTGTTTTAAAGGAAATTGCCGTTTTTTGCCCCAAAATGGCTTTTCCAGTCCAAATCAAGTTAAACTCCAGGGTTTCTCCACTCCTCCCAGCTCAAATCCCCCTCCCGGAACATTGCAGTTCACTTCCCATTTCCCAGCACTGATTATTCCCATGTTCCGAGGATCTTACTTGGAGATGTACTTGTCTTTCCCACAGGGAACCGGGTACTCGCAGCCTCCGTAATCCATCCTCCTGCTCTTCTTTCATGGGAGCTGAACTGCAAAGAGGGAGGAGAGCAAAGCACCGGCGTGAACCGCCCCGATAGCGCATCCCTGATGCGCGCCCATGGAGATGGGAGCAAAGGGATAAAGGGTCCAGGATGTGGGATTGCTCCTGGGAAAGAAGGCTCCGGCGGATGCAGCCGCGGGGGGAAGTTTGATGTGGCTCCTGTGGGAAAACTGATGGGAATGAGGGAGGGGAAATCAGATAAGGGGAGAGGTGGTGCAAACTCACTGAATATTTAATACCGGCGGGGATACGCTTACGCTGGCATTTGCATTTGGAGCATCCACAGATGCGTCCCGGCAATGCCAGACCTGGAAGCGGGAGGTTGACAGTGGGATTTGTCCCTTTTCTGCCTTTATTTCACTCCGGTTTTGCTTCAAAGCTTTGGATAAGGAAGCTGGGTCCGACTGGATCAGCAGCTGCATCCTACCGCATCAGCAGGGACAAGGGTTCCTTCACCTTGGTTTTAACAATGCTGTTCCCTCCAGGGCCAAAACATCCTGGTTTCTCTTCTATAAACACCTGGAATCCCCCTTCCAAAATCCCACCTTGGGAACGGCCCTGGGTTGGAGCATGAGGGTGATGTGGATGCTCCAAAGTGGGATTAAAACAGGATTCCATGTGAAAGCCTCAGGGGCACTTGCGGGCTTTGGGAATAAGGCACTGGAGAGACCTGGAAGTGCAAGGATTGGTCCTGAGCGATGAGAAAGGGCATCTCAGGCCGTGCTTTTCCTTGGGTGTTTGTGGGAACTCCTACGGACGGGCTTTCATCTTCCCAGGGTCTCTTCCCTCATCCCAAAAGGAGAAACCAAGGCGAGGGAAGAGCATTTGATCTGTAAAACATTGTTCTCTTCCACCTCCCTCCTCACCACGTGCTTCCTCCCGATCCCCCGGGAAATGAGCCTGTTTTCCTGCAAACCCCATCCCACAAAGTGACTCAATGGAGGCCGTGCACTAAAACCTGTGTCAAAGGAGGGACCTGTCCCATAAGCTCAACACAGCGGTGATCCCTGCTTCTTACCCCGCACTTTGGGATGCATCCCAGCACATGGATTCTATGGACTAGCAGCGCTGCTGTGTGCCACCATGGAGGAGGTGGCAAAAGCAAAGCTGGTGTCTGAGCGGGCAAGGGCAGGAAATGGGCCCAGCCCCAGGGTGGGGAAAGCAGAAGAGAAACCCGGAGCCTAAATAAACCCACACGGAAAAGCTGACGAAGCTTTGGGTTTCCTGAGGAGCCGGGGGAGCATCCCACATGGCAAAGCGGCATCGACCTCCTCCTCCATCCATTGCGCATCCATGGAATCAACCATGTTGGAAAAGAGCTTTGAGCTCATCAAGTCCAGCCCTTCCCCAGCACTGCCATGGCCACCACTGACCCCCATTAGACCCTTCCATTCTCTGAACCCCCCCAAGTCCCTCAGCCGTTCCCCATCACCCTTGTGCTCCAGGCCCTGCTCCAGCTCCGTTCCCTTCTCCGGCCCCACTCCAGCCCCTCAATGTAGTGAGGGGCAGGGAATAACCCCAGTAACAGCCCTCAGCAGTGGTATCAGGAGGGGATTTGAAGCCGGTTTTGGGATGGGTGTTTCAGGGACCTGAACCTGGGGGTTACCAGATGGGAGATACAGGAACAGCAGAAACGAGCATCTCGCTTGTGGGTGCCCCTGAAAGCGGATGGAGCAGCTCTGGGGAAGTCCCCATTGAGGCCCTGCTGCACCGAGGGAGGTGAAATGACACATGGGCCGCTTGGTGCATGCAAAATGGGGCCAAAAATACCCAAATGGGTTAAAACCGCCCCCCTCCAGCACCACAGCCTTTGGGACCGCAGGGGGGTTCACCCCATGGTACTGTGGTGATACAAAGGGGTGAAGCCAAAGCCTTGGTCCCCTCTAACGGGATGTTGGGATGAATCCAGCTGGGCTGAAGGGGAGCCCCAAAGGCAGGTTCATGCCTCTGCGTTGAGGAGCCCGGTTTCCTGTTTACCACCACCTCCACTCTCACCACATCCCCTTCTGAGCAGCAAGAAAGGGCCAAATTCCTCCTTATTTGGGTCCTGAGAGCACCGGCCTGGGTGTGGAAGGGGTTGGGGATCCTCAAGCAGATCCCAGCCACCACCATGCCCCCGATGGGCTACCGGAAAGGCTGGAAAAGGCCAACACAGAAGGGCTGGAACCATGGGATTTGGGAGCCCATTGCTCAACCTCCGCTCTCGGCGCTGTCTTCACTTCCTGCCTCAGTTTCCCCACCCCGAGCGGATGCGTTCCCTCCGCTGCTGCCTCCCAAAGAGCCTTTAAACCCCATCGGATCCGATTGCTGCTCCCTGTGCACGCAGCAGGAGGATTGCAGCCCCCTCTGCCCTCCAATGCGAGCCAATGGCTGCTCCCACAGCAGCTTTTTAGGCCTGATGGGCCCCAAAACAACCTTCCCAAGGCCCTTCCCCACATCCATACAGCTCCAGAGGGAGCTTGGCCATGCTTAAGGCACCTTGCATGGAACAGGGACGAGAGCTCACTTATATGAGCTCTGGGGAGATGCACAACCCCAAACCTAACAAAGTATAGGGAAAACCCCAAAACCATGTTTTCAGCAGGAAAAGGGCACCATTCCCTGCTCCTGCAAAGAAAGGAGCAACTTGCAGGGGGGGTTTTGCTTTCTTGGCCCCATCCCAATGCTTTGCCAACATCCCCACTGCCTCTTTGGCATCTCCCTGCTCCCCTCGGCCATGCAAAGGATTGTGGGAATATCCCACTGCCGGGGGAGGCCGTGATGCTCCCCCTTCACATCCCCTGGTGCTTTCCTGCATCCTGGGTGGCTTTTAACCAGCCTGGTGGTGCCTGGACCCCAACACAACCAGCGGCAAAGCATCATCCGGAGGCAACGGTTCCCCCCTTGGAACACTGAGCCCCTGTATGGGATGTGAAACAACCGAGTGCTCTCACCCAGTCCCAGCAGATCCTTCGGCTCCACGGATGCTCCCACAGCCTGACGCTGCCGCGGCTCCGGCCCAAGGCCTTATGTTGAAGCTGGAATTCCGTCCGGCATCCCTAGGCGCCAAGGTGCAGCAGCTCCATTGTTTCCCACTCCACTATTGTTCTCCAGCCCCGTCCTGCACAGGGAACAGCGGGGCAGCGGTGAGGGGTGGCAGAGCCACCGGTGCGTGATGCTACGGGGGTGCCACCTCGCTTGGGGACCAGCAAAGGGACCCATTGGCCACACTCAGCAGGTCGGACCCCCCTGCGAAGAGCTGGTGGCCACCAGCGGCTTGTTGTGGGCTATGAGAAGGGAGCTGGGGGCTCCCATCCCGGTGTGATGGGAACCGGGCTGCTCGGGGGTGCCTGCGGGACCCCGGTGATGCCCACGGGGGTCGGTGGGTGCAGAAGGGACCGGATGCCCCCCTCTTCCTGCCCCGGGGGGGAGGCGCAGCCGCCTTCGCCTGCTACCGGCTGCGGACAGGGCTCGGGGCAGCTCCGGCTCCGCCGCGCTGGGGACAGGGACCGGGATGGGGACAGGGATGAGATAGGGATGGGGATAGGGATGAGGATGGGGATCCCCCGCCCGCACTCACCCAGTGCCGGTCCCGCTCCGCAGCCGGTGCCCGCATGGGGCCGCCCCTCGGCGGGTGGGGCCGGGGCGGGGCGGGGCTGCGGGATCCCGGGTCCCCCCTCTCGGGTCATCCCGGCAGCGGCGCCCCGAAGAACCCCAGGGGATGCCCCTGGAGCGGGTCCTTCCTCCGCCCGCCCGCCCTGGGACTGGGGGCCCAAAGGATGCTCCAGCCCTGACCCCTCCGGTTCCGGCTCCGGGCGCTTACAGGACACGGGGCTGCTGGCACCGAGGACCAGGACCACAAAGGATGCTGCATCCCCAGTGCCAGGACTGGGATCCCAAAGTACGCCCCATCCTATGCATCCAGGTTGGAAACGCTGTTACGATCAGCCCCAGCTCCACACAGGACTCCCAGAGGGAGCCTGTTGGGCTGCATCACATTGACTGAAGGGGTGATTCCTGCCTTATAACTCCCCAAACCCTGTGATATTCCATGCTGGAGCCACGCAGGCATCACACTTTGACGCTGCTGTTGCCTTTGGGGGGATGATGCAATGGGGCCGTGGCCCTGGGGTCCCATCCGGATCCAAACCCACCCCAAGAAGAAGATTGAGGAGGAAATAAATTGGAACAAATCCATTCAGATTCGCTTGGATCTACCTGGATCTTAACCCTGGCGCAGGTCGGGATCACGGTTACCTCCGGAACGGTGCCTGGGCTCCATCCTCCGCTCCCAGCCCGCGGGCCCCATCCTGCCCCTCCGCAGGGACGAGTTTTGGGGATTAAGGAGGGCTGCGGCTGTGTCCCTCCTCCTTTGTCTGCTCCTGACCTTTCCCAGCGCTCTGGGGCTGCTCCAGCCTTTTTGTTTTTCTCCTTTTTAAGGAATTTGCCTCGAAACAGCCCACACGAAGGGAAAAAAACCCCAAACAACAAAAAAACCTCCAAATGCATAAAACAAAGGAAGAATCCAAGCAGCTGCTGGGGTGAAACAAGCAGCTCCTTATACCCACGGGTTGCAGCCAGCCCTTTCTGCTTGCTTTTCCCTGGTTTGGGGTGATTTGGATGTGAAGGAGAGGTTCAGGAGGAGCCATTTGGCTTGGGAAAAGCCTGACTCGGCAAAAGCAGGGATGAGGGTTGGATTTGTATTCCAGCAGCATCCTCCGAGGGCTGGCGGAGCTCAGAGGCCCTTTGTCATGGGAAGAGCCTGGCCCTGCTGCACAATGGAGCAGCGCCAGCCCCAAAACCCTGAGGTTTAGCCCCAAAGAAGAGGGAAAGCTTGCTGAGGCAATTGGAGGAAAAGGAGAAACAAGAAATCAACAGTTTTGCTGTGGGGATTTGGGGTTAAATCCTGAGATTTTGTGACATCCTGCTCATTGCTTTCAATGCACATGGGGTGGGTCGGGAAGGATCAGCCTGGATGGAGGCGTTTGTGTCCCAAAGCGAAGGGATTTGAGCCACTCCTGCCCTATGAGGACCCCCTGCAATGAGGGGACACAAGCTGCCAACTCCTCCTTACCCCCCCAGTGTGAGGATAAGGAACCCAAGAGGAACCAAATCCTCTCCAGGAGGAGACCAGAGCCGAGCATCCCTGCCAGGCTCGGGGAAAGGATGCGAAAGGATGCTCCAGTGCAGAGCCTGTGTTCAGCTCCACAGGGATGCCACAGCCCCTGTATCACTGCTTAAATCACTCTTTCTGCACTCAACACCACACAGGGAACACGGTCAATGCCTTTTAAACCATCAGCTCCAATGGATTTACTTCTATTTCCATTCCCAAAGCTGGGTCTGGAGGTCAAGGACCTCAATCAGGCCCAAGCACAAAGCACCAGCTCCAAAGTTCTCCAAAATCCAACTGTTTTCCCCCAGACTGAGCAAGCAGCCAAACTCCCCTCATCCATCCCCTAGCAGCTTCCCATTAGTGCAGCTTCCCATTAGTGCAGCATTAAGACCCCCAAGGTAATTGTCAGTAAATACCAAACCATATTCCATGTGGATACACATCAGGAGCATCTGGGAGCTGTTACACAGCCTCCAGGAAGCAGATGGGAAGAGACCTGGCTCCTGAAGAGGCCTTTGCTTGTACTCAGTCCGTGTTTCTTGGAATCATGGTGCCTGTCTCCAGCTGAGGATGTTTCAGTCATTGGGGTTCTGAGCTGCTGCTTGGGATAAAGCCCTTCTCAGGGCGCTGATGCAGCTGATGCTGGAGGTTTATCCAGGCAAGATGTAAGGCGAACACAGAGTCGTTGCCAGAGCTCTGACCCAGTTGCCCAAAGGATTAAGAGCAAAGTGGTTTCGAGCACGGATCCAAACCCAGGCCAGCTCAGGCACCACCAGGAACCCCTGGCGCTGGTCACCCAGCTGCTCCTTTGGCTTTGATCCCAGATCCACTTTCACCCCCCACTGCTGTGGATTTAGGTGGGTTTTGGCCATTTTTCCTCCCATCCAAGTTAGACAAAGCAGGGCATGGAGGGGACAGCAGCAGCTCCATGGGGAGGCATCTTGGCTGGAAGCGGGGATGCACCAAAAAGAGGAGCTGCAGGCCAAAGGAATACAAGGAATTGACTGTGTCTTCATGGGATAAGCTTTGTGCTGAGAGCCAGAAGGGTCAGGAGAGTGCCTGGAGGCTGCTTGGTCCTCACATCACCTGGATTGCCAATGGGAATGTGAAGGGGATGTTTGAAAGGAAGGGTACCACCACGCTGCCACGTTGCATCTATGCCCGCGTTTATTTATACTGAACAGCTTTAAAAATACAGAATAAAATAGCTTTATCTACTATTATTCACAACATCTGGTCCAAATATTACATTTTTAAATATTTAGTTGTTTAATGAAGCAATGTTAGAAAAAAAAAGATGAAATAATAATAATACAAAAAAAAAAACCCTCCATGAAAGAATTACACATCTCAGAAAACAAAAAATAAACCCAAAAAGGAAAAAAGAACAAACCCCTCTTCTTGCTGTTTAACAAAACCCAAGTGTTTTACAGCCCAAGTCAGTCACGAAGTCATGGGAAACAGAAAAGGAATCTATTTATCCCCACTGCCTAAGAACAGTCAATAGTTTGTTAAGCCAAAGGTTGTTAGAAAGAGACAAAGTAGAAGAATTTGGACTGGCAGCAAGATGATGTAGTCAATGCCAGAGAGCACACAAGGCAATCCTAACCATTACCTCTCCTAGCAATAGGTACGGCTGACAACACACAGTCAAACTGGAACGAGACAGGATGGCTCTGAACACGGATCCCCAGTACTTCAAAGCAGCCCAGCACGAAGCTGTCCAGACCCATGGGCAGAAGCAAAACACTGGCAAAGTCGTGGCCTCCTCCAATACTGCAATGCCCCGTCAGAGCTGTATGGATACGTGAGCACAGAGGACATGTCATCCCATGGCCCCAAGGCCGGGAGCCGGAAGAAATCCTAAGAAACATGCACCAAGAGGGATGTTTTCTGCCAAAACGAGTGACCCGCTGCTCCCCACCCCCTTAAAACAACAGGAAAGAGGGACAATAAAGTCGCTTTTGGTGTCAGAAGGCCACGTGAAAGGAACACCATAGGTTGTGCTGGTCTGGCACACGCACGTTTCTACATGGAGACACAATCGAGCACAGGCTGGTTTAGATTGCATCCCAGCATCCAATGGCTCACTCAAGCCATTAGAAGCTGGCTGTTAAACCACGTGTGCCTGGAGTGCTGTTTGTACCACAAATGATGCCCTTTCCAACACCTTTTACATAGGATGCAATGCTCTGAACATGCTCCTTGTGGTATAAGCAGGACCGAGGATTTCAGTTTGCAAGCGCCAATCTGCATCGGGAGTACCAAGATCTCAGTAGGGAGATGAACAAGAAAAGAAACCCTTTCGTTTTTTGGTAGGAACAGAAAAATGGGTAAATAAAGTATACACAACTACTATAGATTCGTCAATGAAGAAATTCTACCATCACATGACATTGTCATGACAATCATACCACTCCCTCCCAGGACCACGGCGCTCGTGATCCTGAGTGGAAATGTTATCTTTAATATATGGAAATAAAATACTGCAATATTCATGTACAAACCAAGTTGCCATATTGAAAGTCAGTATTAAAAAGGCAGAAAAGCAAATTCTGGGTTTAAGGTTTGAACTTTTAAGGAGCGAGGTACCTGATTTCAGTCCCTCTGCCAAAGCACTCTAATATGACAACATGAAGTCATAGCTCTTGGCTATGAAACCTCAATTTCCAGAGGTATAATTTGCAAGTCTTGACTTTAGAAAACGTGCTTGAACGTTAGCAAGAATCCTTAATTTAACCTAAACAAAAGAATACAAGAGAATATCAATTACAAAAGTCCCAAGTTTTGTTTTTTTTTGCATACATTGATACCATCTTTGATATGACAAAATGAGATTTCTACCATGAATATTTGCCCTTCTCTCTTCAAATGCTGGCTTGAAGCATCTCATCCCCTCTTATCTCAACCTCTCAGGTGTCACTTTCCTCAGGTGGTTTTTAGTTCAGCCTGAAAGGCAGTAACACAGCAAGGAGAAACACAGTACAGCATTTACAGTGGGGTCTCTATAGCCACCCTCACACAGCAAAGCCTGGATGGAACCCACCAACATGATGCACTGAAATGCTTTTTATCACTGCAAGTTCATCCTCTGCAAACCATCCGGCAGCACCACAGCAGCCAGCCTGGAAAAGTGGACCTGGAAGGAGGATTTAAGGTCCACGATGGCAAAACCCACACGAATACAGAGGTATTCCCCTCACAAAGCAATGCATCTGTTTTGACTGGCGGCTCTGGGGCGGATTCAGGTGCACCACAAAGGGGAGTTTCTCTTTCCACCCTTTGCTCCCCACAAAGCACAGCCCGGTGCAGCAAACCGCATGGTCAAGGGGCTGCCAATGACTCCATCCTAACCCTTCACTACACATTACAAGTGCTTCAGCAGATCTTCACAAACCTGAGGCTCCTCTTTAACCATTCATGTTCATAATAACGTGGAGAGAGTTGTTACAGACACAGATCTGGTTACAAAAATGACTGCTAACTACAACTACTTGCTTTAGTGTTATTAAGGTCAGGGGCTAGAACAGCAAACACGCCGGCTAAATGCTACTGCACTTCCCTCAGCCAGGCAACAGGATCAGCATGGTAGGACCCAAAGTCACAAAAAGAACTAAATCCAACAGTTAAAACAGAGTAACTGGACCTGATCTATTCGGATGGTCTTTCCTCTGCTGCAAGACAGGAGTGTTTTGCTCCAAGGAGGAAGAACAAGTATCCTTGGATTCGTTGCACTGTAATTGTCACTTCTCACTACAAAAGGTTGCCTGAAGTATGGTGAAAGCTGTATTCAAGGCCAGGATGGACTGGGCTTGAGGCAACCTGGTCTAGTGGAAGGTGCCCATGGCAGGGGGTTGGAACTGGGCGATCTTATGGTGCTTTCCAACCCAACCCATTCCATATGATGGCAATACAGAACACACAGAGCCCAAGGTGAGAGAAGAGAAATGCCCCTTCTCATCACCTCGTCTCTTGACTGCATCAGCATTTCTGCTATCAAGAGTATCTGGGGGGAGAAGCCAGCAAAGCCCCATGGCGCTCTGTGCCCAGTGCCATGGCTGGACTTGACATTCCAATAGAGCTGAGGTGGCACTGTTTAAATGAAACAAAACCTTTTGCCTCCCTTTCTCAACACTTATAGGATAACCAACTTTGGCATTTTACATCCTTACAACCACCGTACATAGGTGGCTTTTATTTGTATTCCTTTCATATATATATATATATATATTTATTTTTTACCTCTCCCATGTCTCCTACACATCTTTGGTTGCACATAAAGTTGGGAAATTTGGAAGCTTCGTGCCACTGATTAGAGTCTCCGTGCTCAACCTACCTGCAAGTGGATGTGGAAATCTAACCCCTCTCTACCTGAAGAGGAAAACTTGAACAATGATTAAAATCACTTGGTTTCACAGGCAATACTAACCTTGTCTACTACACTAGAACTCTTCCGAGCAGCTTTCAACATAGTCCAATTGACACCGAGACTGCAAACTACTGAAAGTTCCCTGAAGCAGGAACAAACACATGCTTTTGTTATGGGAAAAAGTGGTATAAAAGAGTTTCTGGAAACAGCCATGGCATGCTGAGAACGTTATCAATGGAATCATTCCAATGCTACACTACTCAGTACTGATCTGGTAAGCTCTTGCCTTTGCCCTCCCCACCCCAACCCTTCCATGCTTCAATAACAAATTCACCTGGCAGTAGACTCAAGAGAAAACAGAGTTCCTGCGCTCCTGTCCAGTAGTCAAACGTGGATAAATATGAGTGAAATACAGGATCTACTGTTAGGGTTTTTCCCAGGAATACAAAATGCAAGCACCGTAGAGCATACTGGCCTTGAAATTACATTACACTACATTTCCCTGATGATCTCCACAGCTTAAAAACGCTTTTGGGGCCACACTGAAAGTCTAAAAACTAACTTGCAATAGTAAGAACATTAAACATGAATAAAACTTTTAATTATGAATGCATGATGAGCATGAACACCCACATAACATCAGAGCTGAGACTATTCCAGGAAAAAAAAAGATCTGAATGGTGCCCTGACCGGACCCAATACCCGTGAAACCATCCAGTGGGTGAGGACATCAAATGGAGTGTCTCAAGATCACCTCTGCAGCAGTCAGAAGCCCCACAAAGAGAGAAGAAAAGGCAATGCAACATAAGCTGCTTGTAGGCAGCACCGTCTCTTGATATCCAATTGGGAATATTCAGCACAGATCCAAACCAGGGAATGCCAGCAGCGTTGTGACCATGTGGCTTACCCTGTATGAAGAGCAGTGTGGATACACACATTAACTGCTTAAAACTGCTCAACAAATGAGCACTTTTATCCAGGAAATGTCCTGCTGGATACAGGCATTGGGCTGTAAAAACTGTTACTGGGCTCCATCTGGAAGCCTGAAGTTTTCCATCTCTCTAACACCAAAGCTACATGTGATCCTTTAAAGGAAACCTGCCCTGGCCACTCTAATCAGGTGGTTAAATGCCAGGCAGAAAAGGCAAACTGAGCTGAAGTAAGTGGCTCCTCCTACAGCTTTAAGCTATGAGAAGTCAGTCGTTTTCATTGGCAAAGTTATCACAGAAACTTTCTGTCTGAACGCTGGACAGGGACTGAATTATCAGGAATTCAAAGGAACACCCTCATGATTTGCCAGGATCAACAGAGTCTGGTTTCCAAGGGGCTGAAAACATGGAATGTGCAAATCAATGCATAGAAAACAAATGTATGGGATGCGACAAGACTAGAAGTAAATCCACCCCTCCCCTCTTCTCACTGGATTCAGATTTTCTGGCCTAACTACCATTGCCAGCAATGAACGTGCCAAAAACACCAGTCAATGACTTACATCAATCACCATAAGTAGGAACATCTGTCAATAGCACCTCCATACTTTGGGAAAACTAAGCCCCACTTCAAATAACCAGGCTTAGGTGAGCAAGGATCTCTAGCATTTGAGAATCACACAGAGGAGCATCAGATTTGACCCAGAGACACTAAATCTGGTGCCACCACCCACAACAGGAAAGCTTTTTTTTTTTTTTCTCTTTTAAATCTGTCTCAGCTCTGGTTCCAGAATTTAAATGCAGATATACAAAACATATATTTTAATGCTTCTTAATCAGCAAGAAACCGCAAATACATCTTTTACTACAACTAGATAATAGAATTTCAGCTAAGGCTATACTGTAGCTTCTGAGTCTTCATCTGAACTCCTGCAGTTACTGCTTTTCCTGAAGCCTTTCCATGTGTAACCCATGAAGGTTGGGCTGATGGGCAGGAAGCTGAAACACCTGTATTTCTTAATAAAGTTCATGCCAAAAGGCAAATCGTATGTTTCCATGCCATCCAGTGACTTGCTTCCTTTACCAACCCCTTTCTTCCATTTCTGTATTCCCCTTTCTTCAGGGCTTCCTAGAAGTCAAAAGGGGGAAAAAATACATACATAAGTACCTTCATTTAAACACATATAGAGTAGAGGTTAAGAGAAGAAAGAAGACCCCAAGTGTCCAACATCGTGGTCAGCAAAGCAGTGGAAAGATCTTCCAGACTCCTCAAAGAGGCAGGAAGAGAGAGAGAAAACTCTTTATTGGGAATGGCTGTTATCGGGTTTATTTTGTAACTGGAAGTCAAGGCAAATTTTTCCTCTCCAATGAATGGAAGCAGGTTTGGATCTTTAAAGTATTTGAAGCAACAATCTCCTGAAGATGACTACTCTGGGTTGATTTTTATCAGCTATTTCATATGTTTAGTACAATGGAGACCTTCACCAGTGTCTGAGGAAACTGAGGCATGTGGGTGGTAAGCAGTCTGCTTGAGGTGTTGAAGAAGTCAACAGCTAAAGCAGTACTCTCTTCCTCATCTCCTGCCTCCATGGAACGCTGTGCTACCTCCATTCAGAAAGGGAGATGTTATCCCAAGTAAAACGACTGACCTGGAATGGTGTTATCCAAAATAAACGCCACGCAGCCACCGACAAACATGGCTGTAGTGAGAAGGACGTTTAGGACTTGATCGATGCCTGCTATGCCTACAAGAACAGGGTAAAAGCACTTAGAATCCCATCTTTTTATCACACATATACATGTCCTGCTGATGTACATGAAGGCAAAACTTGCTACTGAGTTCACTGAGGGATTTGCTCAAGTAGGATCCTTAAAACCACCTGGGAATAGATGCAGAAGAACCTTCACCTAACGTAGCTCACCACAGGGACCCCTTCTTTCCCAAAGTGTAACTCCAGGAGCTTTCATTGCTTATACAAATGTCATGAAATGCCCTTTTAGTTTCTACTGCAGACAACTGCTTCATTTAAACTGAATGGAAAACTACAAATTGGGAAATGTTCATAACATAAAATCCTGTGGACTTAAGTAATTCCTTTTATAAGCCTTCCCCTTCTGAAAGGGCAAGACTTCAGAGAAGAACACTGCATTAATATATCATCACCTAACACTGCCTGAATGATCAACATTTCTGAACAACTTGAAATAGGTCAGATACGCTCTTACAGCTGGTTCTGACGTGACAGATATAAAAAGTTAGCTAGTATTTCCCCTAAAAATCAACCACCAAGCACGTGTCTGCAGTGACACAAAATGTCAAAACCCAAACAAATTCCCAGCCTCCAACCTTGGGCTTTCCCCTTATTCTTTTAGCACCATTTACAACTCAGCTTCACCCTTTCAGTTCTTCTTTCAGTCCAACTGGTGACTGACTTCTTCCATTGCTCTATAATCATACCCAGAGAAAACAGGACATCTTCGGATGCATCCCATGGAAACATCCAGTTCTGGTCTCAGCATCCCAATTAATCTTTCTCTGAACATACCCCCCCTTCTTACCTGGAGCTTTTATCATCTCCATGATACTCTGTTTTTTCTCTTATTTAGCCTTTAGATTTTCTTGTACTCCTATGTACTTCACATAGGAGCACAAGGTAAAAGGAAGCTTCATGTAAATGAGCAGAAACACATACCTGTGACCAGTGGATTTTGTTTGAGATAGCTTGGAAGGACAAGTCCAAAGAAAATGGAAAATCCAAGGACAAACAGGTTCCGAGAAGAATTTAAGTCAATGAACTGGAGGTTAGACAGACCCACAGCTGTGATCATCCCTAAGGGAAATAAAACAAGTCCCAGCTTTTAGACAGCCTTATTCATCAAAAGAAGGTGGCAACATACAAAGAGAACAGCACTGAAGTAAAGATCTGGCCATGCAGTACACAGAGGAGCAAAAAACATACGTTACCAAAGAGAGTGCAGAAGAGGGCACCGAGCACAGGGTCAGGAAGCGATGCAAAGAGAGCGCTGAACTTGCCAACCATCCCAAGCAGGAGCATGAAGGCTGCTCCATACTGAATCACCCTGCGACTTCCAACCTGCAGGAGAACAAAAGGGAAAGGACGAAGGAAAAAGTCCACATTTAGTCCAATTTGGTGCCTTTTTATTCTCTTATTCTTTTCTCATTTCAAGCTTTCTCATTGTGTTATAACACAGGCTGCAGAGCATTGGCAAATGTCTTGGAGGGCTCAACTGAAACATGGCTGCATTCCAGTTATAACATGACTTTGTTTGATTTTGTTTTCCCTAACATCAAGTCATCTTTAAAACCATCTGTAACCACTAGAGCCACTGTTACCATGAAATGTGGTGCAGACCCGTAAAGAAAACAAACAGATTGTAACTAGGAGATGGCAAACATCCATTGTTATGCAAATGAAGAGAAGAACACATCCATATGCTGCTGCCCTTTTACACAAGATTCAGGAATTAGTTACCTACCATAGAGGTCACTGGATGCAGGCTTTCTAGACAGAGATTATCAACTGATTTTATAACATCCCTCTTTGAGATAAGAAGTGAATTCGCTTCACATGCAAATCATGGTTGTGCTAATGCTGTGAAACCAAATGCCTACACTTCCCATTTTTGCTTTAAGCATCCAAACTTCAGCAACATTTCTCTGGCACAGTGTTGTAGGGGTCATTGATAAACCTGAATGGTTGATATTTCCATAGTATGCAATGGCTTCAGGCTTCCAATAACTTAAGGGGGCCGACAGGAAACCTGGAGAAGGGCTGTGGACAAGGGCCTGTAGGGACAGGGCAAGGGGAATGGCTTGAACCTGCCAGAGGGGAGGCTGAGCTGAGCTCTTAGGCAGAAGCTCTTCCCTGTGAGGGTGCTGAGGCGCTGGCACAGGGTGCCCAGAGAAGCTGTGGCTGCCCCATCCCCGGCAGTGCTCAAGGCCAGGTTGGACACAGGGGCTTGGTGCAAGCTGCTCCAGTGGAAGGGGTCCCTGCCCGTGGCACGGGTTGGAGCTGGAGGAGCTTTAAGGTCCCTTCCAACCCAAACCCATCTGGGATTCGATGATTATAAGAGGTGCCCCAGGGACCAACCCAACCTGTTACACTGGTAAGGTGATTTCTAGCAAAGCCCTTTGTAGGTCTCCTGTTAAAATGTATTAAGAGAAGTAGATAGAAATTTGTTAATTACAGAACAGATTGGGTTGGAAAGGACCTTAAAGCTCATCCAGCTCCAACCCCTGCCATGGGCAGCAACACCTTCCACTAGAGCAGCTTGCTCCAAACTGCGTCCAACCTGGCCTTGAACACTGCCAGGGATGGGGCATTCACCATCAATCCCCCATCTTCACCATTTAGCCATCAGGTGAGATATGTTCACCTACAAACAGAAGCTACGCCAGTAAATCAGGGTCTTCACTAGAACAACAACAGAAATGAGCTTGCACCTTTCTCTATTTCATACAAAGATATTAGTTTCCTTCAGACCACCAGCATCTTGCTCTAAAATCATCCTCCTGCATGAAACAGGCAGTCTTTACAGCATTCACATGACAATGCCATATATTTATTCAAATGCTGAACCACAACAAGGCAAACAAATTAAGCTCCTTTTGAAAGCGACTCAAAGCATCCTGGTGAGCATTTAGCTCAAACTATGTATTTATTCCCAGGATATGTATTTATTCCCAAACTATGTATTTATTCCCAGGATATGTATTTATTCCCAAACTATGTATTTATTCCCAGGATATGTATTTATTCCCAAACTATGTATTTATTCCTGTGGACACACTTTATGTGATTACTTTGGAGTGCGTGATATGGTAACTGGTACTTTACCCGAGTATCCATTTCATCACCAACACTTTGGCATAACCTGCCTAGGCTTTTGCCCCAGCTAATCAGACTTTACTGATTCTCCTCTCATCAAATAAAACTCAGTCACAGCCTAACTTGAAGACTCTGCACTATTTACATCCAGCTGAAGCCTCTAATTTAAATTCTAAGTGTAATCATACACTAATTTCAAGGGAGGTAAATGCTTTCCCAACTGCTGCACTGGCCTAATGGGATCACCAGGACTCACTTAAGATTTCCTCTCCCAAACCAACATGCCAAACATCTATTTTGATGTAAATTGAACAGTATGAGGTTTTTAGGAATGAGCATGCAGACAGGAAAACAAGACAAAACACTGGAGCCGAGCCATCCAGCTGTGCCATGCTGGATAAGGCATATTCACTCTCCATCATGTGCTCCGAACAGAGCAGACTGTAGTTAACTCTGTTCTCTGGAACAGCTGACAGTTTAACATTCATTTTCCATTGTTCCAAAGCAAAACGTACACGTGTTGCTGTAGACTGTGAATAAATAAGTGCTGTTAATTCATATCCACTCCAATGAAGTAACAGCAGAGAGGAAGCAGAAGAGAATAAACCTTTATTTAAGGGTTTTTCTAAGTGAAATTTCTTCTAGGAAATTTCCATCACCAACGGAATGCAGCCTGACACAGTCAGCAGATGGTGCTGTTAGCATTTAGATTCCACCCTAAACCCCAACAGAATCAGCCTTTGTGCAAGAGAAAAACATGGCTGAAGAGAAATTCACCCCAGTCAGCGGGATGAGTTATTGTCAGATATGTTTTCTATCTTGCACACATGAAGATTTACAGCGTCCCAGTGAAACACGCAACAAGATGTGCCTATCTGCAACATAAATTACTCTTACTGATCCTACTAATGGTCTCTAAACAAGGTTAAGTTAACAATATCAAGCAAATCTGCCTGCAGTCCAAGGTCTCCCAGTTCAGCAAAGCATTCAAGCACACATCCAGTCCCACATGGGAACAAAGGAACTCAAGTGCTTAGATATTTTGCTGAGTATCACCCCAAAAATATGTAATTCCCTAAGAATGCTCAGGGCCTTAAAACCCTAGCATGATGGAAACAAATAGTGAGGGTGCATTTAACTTTGACATTACCTTCACCGTAGCTCCTGTTCTAGCTGTGTGAGCAGACGTAGATAAATAACAGAATCATGGAATGGTTTGGGTTACAAGGGAGCTTAAAGCTCATCCAGTTCCAACCCCTGCCATGGGCAGGGACCCCTTCCACTGGAGCAGCTTGCTCCAAGCCCCTGTGTCCAACCTGGCCTTGAGCACTGCCAGGGATGGGGCAGCCACAGCTTCTCTGGGCACCCTGTGCCAGCGCCTCAGCACCCTCACAGGGAAGAGCTTCTGCCTAAGAGCTCAGCTCAGTCTCCCCTCGGGCAGGTTCAAGCCATTCCCCTTGGCCTGTCCCTACAGGCCCTTGTCCCAAGCCCCTCTCCAGGTTTCCTGCAGCCCCTTTAGGCACTGGAGCTGCTCTAAGGTCTCCCCTTCAGGAGCCTTCTCTTCTCCAGGCTGCCCCAGCCCAGCTCTCTCAGCCTGGCTCCAGAGCAGAGCTGCTCCAGCCCTCGCAGCAGCTCCTTGGCCTCCTCTGGACTTGCTCTAACAGATCCCAGTAAAACACAAGGACCTCAACTGTTCAAGTGAGACATTAACCCCAGTCCGTACCCTAGTGATGCTTTCAGAATCGAGACATCCCAAAGAATAGCCATTTCTATACAGTTGGCCATGTTCAGGTAAACTCAGAACACTGTAAAGTTTGTCTGAACCAAGCCCTAAATAGTCTGGTTTCTTGGAAGAGGATCATGCTGTGAAACATGAGAATGGCACGAGCCACCCACCAAAGGAGATAAAAATACATCACAGAGTAACCAAGGTAAAGCACATACCTTTGTGATGCCCAAGACACCAATGTTAGGGCTGGAAGAAGTTGATCCATTCCCTGTCCCAAATACTCCATCCAGAACACAGGAGAGACCCTCAATAAAAATCCCTCTGTAAATCAAAACCAGGGGAAAAATAAAAGAGAGTCAAACTTGCATTAGGGCAGACTCACTTCAGATGGTGCTTTACATCTGTCCCACGTGAGTTATGGTAATCCACATTCCAAGCTCCAACACACCTGGAAACCCAACTTGAGTCCTGTTTTCTATCCCTTAGGTACCCACCTTCTGAAACTGAGGGAATTAATTCAAGTCAATCCCAAAGCTGCTCTTTATTTCTAGAGCTGCCCTTCAGGTGAATGTGACAGGCTCCCCTGATTCCAGATCTGATTTAGGAGCTCTGTCCCTGTAGAAACTGTACTATTAGCATCCACAGCCTCCAACAGGAACAGGAGTAGGTTTCCAATGCTGCATTTGCATTATTCCAAGGAGGAAAACCCATAAAAGTATCTGAAGACACTGAAAAATACTTCCTTTTTTGTTGACATACCTGTTTATTGCATGAATAGGTGGAGGAGGAGCACAAGATAACCTGGCACAGGCATAGTAATCTCCTATTGATTCAATAATGCTGGCAACAACGGCGCTGAGCATTCCTATTACTCCAGCAGCTGAAATTGTTGGCAGTCCCCACTGAACTGTGAAGGAAAGAAAACTGAAATCTCTTGGGCCACAGAAAACAATTCAGGTATCAAAACATGCAACAGTTTCATAGGATCATAGAATTATTTAGGCTGGAAAAGACCTTTAAGAGCACAGAATCACAGAATGGCTTGGGTTAGAAAGGACCTTAAAGCTCGTCCAGTTCCAACCCCCTGCTATGGCAGGGATGCCTCACACTAGACCACGTTGCCCAAGGCTCTGCCCAGCTTGGCCTTGAACACTGCCAGGGATGGGGCATTGACCACATGGTTGGGCAACTTCTGCCAGGGCCTCAGCACCCTCACAGGGAAGAGCTTCTTCCTTATCTCCAACCTGAACATTCCCTTTTTCAGTCTGAACCCATCACCCTTGTCCTATCCCTACAGTCCCTGATGAAGAGCCCCTCTCCAGCATCTTTGTAGCCCCCTTCAGACACTGGAAGCTGCTCTGAGCTTGCTCCATGAAGCTTCTCTTCTCCGGCTGAACAGCCCCAGTGTTCTCAGCCTGTCTTCCTATGGGATCATTGAGTCCAGCCCTTACCCCAGCACTGCCAAGGCCACCACTAAGCCATGGCACTGAGGCCTCCTCTACACGGTGTGTGAACACTTGCAGGGACGGTGCCTGCAGCCCTGCCCTGGGCAGCCTGTTCCAATGCCTGAGCACCCTCTGGGGCAGGAATTGTTCCTCAGCTCCACCTAAACCTGCCCTGGTGCAGCTTGAGGCCGGTTCCTCTTGTCCCATCCCTTGTTCCTTGGGAGCAGAGCCCAGCCCTCCTGGCTCCATCCTCCTGTCAGGCACTTGTAGGCAGCGATCAGGTCCCCCCTGAGCCTTCCCTTCTCCATCTGAACCCCCCAGGTCCCTCAGCCCTTCCCCATCACCCTTGTGCTCCAGGCCCTGCTCCAGCTTCACTGCCCTTCTCTGGCCCCACTCCAGCCCCTCAATGTCTCTCTTGTAGTGCAGGGCCCAGAAATGAACACAGGATTTGAGGTGCAGCCTCACCAGTGCCCAGTGCAGGGAGACAATCACTGCCTTGGTCCTGCTGGCCACAATTCCATTATTCATCTTTAATGGAAATAACAAACTCCCTTCACAGTAACACACTCTGGCAAGTTGAAATAGATGAAAAAAGCAAAGGAAAAACCATCCAAGCAACTGCTTTGATCATGCTTGGAAAAAAAAACCCCAAAACCACAAACCCCACCAAAACAATTTTGTGTTCAGAAGGAAGGAATCTGAACTCCTGCTTGTGAGAAAACAGTTGTGATCAGTGAGGTGAATGCCGCTTTATTATTATTGCTCTAAAAACCTCAGTCTTTGGTTACAAGTTCAGTCTACACAAGAGAATGGCCAACAACCAACTATGCTCGCTGCACCCACACCTTCCAAGTCTACCCTTTGGTAGAAAAGCAAATCAGATTTAAGCCTGTAGAACAGCTTGGCAGGTTTTCCACAGCAACTGCCTCAATGCTTTTATCTCTTTGAAAGAGATGAGCCTCTTGCAAACAAAAGGAACTTTAAGTCACACAAACGTGAATGAACAAGGCTTCACAAAAAAGAAAGGTCTAATCAGGGTGGAGAAGTTTTCCTGCTTTCCCAAAAGCTTCTATTATACAGCTTGCAAGTACTGCTTTAGAAGTGGTTGCTTTTAAGAACTAATCAGAAGCAAAGCACAGGCAAAACCACAAGGAAGCTGCCTCATTACAACCTAATGGGATTCCTAACTATTTCTATTCTTCTGCTCCAGTAGAGTATTATTCTATCATTACCCCATTAATTTTGGGGGAACCCAGTTGTGCAACTCCACTTCATGCCATAACAAACAGCCTTTAACAGCTTTAAGCTGAGAGGTGGCCAGCAAAAGGATATAAACAGCCAAGGTGGTGTGAAAAGCATTCTGTGTTCTCATGTCCTTTGATAAGCATTGAATGGCATTCTCTGACTTGCCCACTGGCCCAGTTCCAGGGCTGCTTCTGCAAGTCGGGATGGTTTTATGTAGTTGGTAATGGTTGTGCTCATTCAAGGATGGGTTTGTTTGGGGCAGGGAAGTGCACTGAGCTGGAGAAAACTCCACACCCTAATGATTCTTTAGATGGTGAGAATCAGTGAGTTAGTTCAGTAGCTGTAAGAACCTGTCCTTATCATCATATAACTTAACAGCAGCTGACCACAGGATTGACAAGTACACATAAATCAACCATGCCCTGAAAATCTCAGATTGGTTTGGGTTGGAAGGGACCTTAAAGCTCATCCAGCTCCAACCCCTGCCACGGGCAGGGACCCCTTCCACTGGAGCAGCTTGCTCCAAGCCCCTGTGTCCAACCTGGCCTTGAGCACTGCCAGGGATGGGGCAGCCACAGCTTCTCTGGGCACCCTGTGCCAGCGCCTCAGCACCCTCACAGGGAAAAGCTTCTGCCTAAGAGCTCAGCTCAGTCTCCCCTCGGGCAGGTTCAAGCCATTCCCCATGGCCTGGCCCTACAGGCCCTTGTCCCAAGCCCCTCTCCAGGTTTCCTGCAGCCCCTTTAGGCACTGGAGCTGCTCTAAGGTCTCCCCTTCAGGAGCCTTCTCTTCTCCAGGCTGACTGAGCCCAGCTCTCTCAGCCTGGCTCCAGAGCAGAGCTGCTCCAGCCCTCGCAGCAGCTCCATGGCCTCCTCTGGCCTCGCTCCAACAGCTCCAGGTCCCTCTTGTGCTGTTGCCCCAGAGCTGGATCTGGACTGCAGGGGGGATGAAATCTCACCAGGGCTGTGTAGAGGGAGAGTCACCTCCCTCCATGTTATATGTACAGTCACACTGTGTTATTAGAACTCAAGAGTGACCTAGATAAACCTTGCAAATGCCTTCTACACATTCAGAAACTCAGCCTTTCTTGGGCAAGACCTTCAATTATCAGATTAAAGAGGAAAACATACAAAAAGAACATCATATCCCCACCTACGATGCCTTTAGATTAGTGCACGTCAAAGTGCATCAGAACGTGGAAGCGAGAGGAAAAGAGCAACGCTTCTGAAAACAACAGGAATGATTCCCACGGGCATATTATTAGCAAGCCAGCTCTGAATCCCAGACATACTTACAAGGATAAGGAACCTTGAACCACGGAGCTACCAACAGCACTCCCCGGCGTGCGTCTGTGCGAGCGTAGAAGCCGTACTTGGAGCTGTCAGGGGGAAAGACGTCTGTCACAGTGAAGATGAAGCAAAGCAACCACGACACCAAAATAGCTAAGATAATCTGTGAAAGAGAAAGGGGGGAAAAAGGAGCTGTTTACTATCACTGGCAATATTCATCAACAGCAAACAGCTCCTGCAGAGAATATCTATTACACACATATCCCAGTATGCTCTTAAGTGATATTTAAGTCTGAACAAGCAGTTAATCCTGTAACAGATCCATGAGGTGGTTCCCCCTGGCCCCTAACAAAGGTGCTGTTACAAAAGCTTTCAAATTACAGCAAGCCTCCTCTCTTTGCTAACAAATGGGAAAGTCTCCAAATGGGCACTTAAACAAACCAGTGAATTAGGCTCAATTTTACCAGGAACTAAAGAGAAGCCTTTCACATGGGGCACCATGTCTTGCTTTCATAAAACTAGAAGATAATGATCTCACCATCCCTTTTTGGAGGGCTGTTTAGGCTTTCACTGCATGCATAAACATACTTTCTTCTCTATCCCCCTTCCCTCCCCTCTTCATCACTTCAATGGACTCCCCTTCATCTTCATCACTTCAATGACTCTTCATGAGGGTCAGAGACCAGAATGGGATCTGCAATACTACAGCATCACAGAGTGGTTTAGGTTGGATCTGCAAGACTACAGCAGTGGGTTAAGTTGGATCTGCAAGACTACAGCAGGCTATTTCCTGTGACAAAGTACAGTATCACAGAGGGGTTTAGGCTGGGATCTTAAAGCTCATCCAGTTCCAACCCCGTACCACAGGCAGGGACACCTTCCACCAGAGCAGGCTGCTCCAAGCCCTTGGCAGCCTGGCCTTGAACACTGCCAGGGATGGAGCACTGATGTTAATGAGACATTTATATAAATAAATACATTAGATCTACAGCTATAAATGAACCATTCAGTTAACTTTCTCATAAGTCCATTTAAGCTTTCCTCTCACCTTTATGATTTTATTGCTAAGAGAAATCAAGAACCCACCCCAAACTCAAAGCAGTTTCTTTTGCCAACTGAAGACCAAGTTGGGCTACTCACAGGGAACATCTTGAAGAGCTGCAGCCTGTAGGCTGTCCATCCCTTCTTGGATTTGTAAATGGGTAAAGGAAACTTTACATTTCGGGCATATTGAGAAAACAACAATACTAGGAAAATAGTCCTGAGAAAAAGAGGAGAAGGAGGGTGGGACAAGAGAGACACATCATTAGCACCAATGTATTCAGAAGCCTTCTCAGCACAAACCTGTTCAGGCTCTTCAGACACCTGAAGACATCTGAAAGTCAGCACCAAGCATCACAAGATGATACGTTTTAAATAGATCGTTATTCCACAAAAGCCAAACCAATGTAATTTGTATTCTAAAGTGCTGCAAAACTAGCCAGCAGCAAACAGGGAAATGAAGCAACTGAAGAAAGATCTTCAGAGCAAAGAGCTACGCTGCGCTCCTGCCTTCTTTGGATTCAAACTCTCTGGCCAGGTTTGCTCCTCACATGAAGCCCGAAGGTTCCTGCTCCAAATGGGAAGAACCTGGAAAACTGGAGGCCAGTGGAAAAGCATTTCTACACTTCCAACAGTTGCATAAAGCTCCAAAGCACTTGAAAACCTCCTGTCAAGGGAAATTCTCTTCAATTCTTCATAATCCCCATTTCTTATTTTGTATACACATCTTTCACTAAGCAGCTGTAAATTAAGCAGAATCGAGCCCCAAACCCCAAGAATCCATTCAACTGCAGTTGAGTAACCCAATTTATCATGGTTTTTAGAAGCCTCAAGCATCATCACTCCCCCCCTCATCAAAACTAAGCTCCTCTATGTGTTAACAATCAATTCAACTCTACAGCTAAAATAAGTACCCACTGCAATGAAAACTACAAGCCCAGGGGAGGTTGCTCAATTCTGAAGCAGTCAAACCCCAGTTCTGCTATTAAAAGGCCACACAAAGAGTCAAACTGTCTGAAGCAGCAGAGCTGTTCTGAAATCTGAGATTAAGTTTTTATCAGCTGACTTAAAAAGAAGAAGGAGGTGGATGTTAAACCTCCCTTTTCTGCCCCAGATCAGGTTCAGACTGTAAGAAACAAATCCAGCTTTATTCTCCCTCAGGCTCCAGGAACAAAGAGCTCAGCAGAAGGGTGGCATTTATAACCCTGACTCAAGTGATAAAGACACCTTTTCCTTGCATTCAGGGAACATTCTGGCATCTCTCCCAAAGTCCATTACGAAAAGATGGGATCCATGCCCTGAGAGCAGCCCTGAGGACTGGGGGGGATGTATACCGATTTATTTAGTATAGAGTTGTAAGGAACGTAATAATATTATGTTATTCTATCATAGAATGGTTTGGATTGAAGGGATTATAAAGCTCATCCAGTTCCAACCCCCTGCCACAGGCAGGGACACCTTCCACTGGACCAGGTTGCTCGAACAGAGTGGGAAATAATCATTTAAATAATAAACTGAAGCATTTTCAATCCTATTATCTTGGTTACACACCAGGGGGTTCTGTGAAACATCAAATCCTGACATTCCCAAACAAACTGGTCTGTTCAGCAGAGATCCAGGCAAAGCCTGATTCAGGAATAACTTCCCTCTCCACACATCATGAGGTGATGTGGTTTAGGGATGAAATTACTTCAGCTTGGCACCTGCAAGAACAAGCAAGGCCAGAGAACTGGTTGGGAACCTGAGAGTCATGTCAAAGAGCATCTGCAGCTAATAGAGGAGAGCAGCCCTGCCACGGGGATTGTTCTGCTACAGCAGATAGCAACACAGCATTTTTATCTCTGCAGAACACAGTCAAGACAATTTCAAGTGCCACATCTTGTGGAAATCAAGTTACTTTTGAGTGGCTCTAGATGGCCGTGGAGTTATTTTGAACACTCTAAGTGCACATTTGTGTGTGACAGAGGCCAGAATCACTTATTGACTGGGTCATATTTCAGTCCTGTTCCGAAATGGATGTATTTTTTCCATCTGAAAAATGTCAGCTTTAATTACACGTTTCCATGTCCAATCCACCAAAGGTCTGGTTGATTGATTTAACATGAGGCCCAACTTGCACTGAATTTGTTTGATAGGGAAACAAAATGTTTCTTTGGGTCAGCTGCTTAACAGAATAGAGTTACAAAAACATTCATGATGCTGACATCCAAGAGGAAAGAGAATTAAAGAGCCCTTCTAATCATAGGCTGCACTTATAGCATATTTTACATGTTCAAAGCACTGTGTAAAGATTTGTCAGACCAGAACCTGATCTCATCAAGTCATTCCTTCTGCTTCCAGAGCCAGCACAAAGTTGGTCACTACACACTGAATATAGCAACTGCTTCAGCCAACTTCCTTCTCTTGAAAAGGTGGTTTCCCTCCTTATCTGACTCAAATAGCATCTCACAGGAAGCTTTTGTCTTCTCTTCATCTCATTCTTCTCAGTTATTCCCTTTCATACCACTAATCTTAATTCTTTAATCTCCCTGACATCTATACCTACAGAAGCACGTACATCATGCCCTAAATTCACTCTAAGAGCCCTTTTGTCTACTAAAGAGAAATCTCTCTTCTTAGGCTTCCTGGACTGATGGCGATCATAGAAACAGATGTGCTCTGCCATCATATACACTTCTCTTGGCTATAGATAAGCAAACCAGAATAAGGGCAAATGGGCCATGACTACTGATGGTATTTGCTTGCTGCTGCTGAACAAGAAACATTGGCAATAGGAGCATAAAAACAGAAATACAAATTGGTCGCTAACCTCCCTGGTGCTTTGCTGAATGGTCTTTTCTCTAGCACTGAACCAGACCCAGCCAAGGGCTCCCAGAACTACTGTTTTATAAAACTCACTGCTCTCACACCTCACTTTCAGCTATTTTCCTTTCCTGCCTCCTGAAGATGCTGCTGTCCTTATTCCCAAGTTGCCAGCTGACCCTATCCAGACCCCCATGGATTCTTCCATGCTGGGATCACTGCAGCGCTCCCCTGGGCAGCTGAGCTGTTCCCTGGCACGCCAGGATTCCTGCATGACAACTTACCAACTGGGACCTAAGCCAAGAAGCCCCAGGAGTACTTACAACATAGCGATACCCCAGTGTTTGCCTGCTCTTTCTCCAGCAGCTTGGAAACCAGAGAGGCCAATGAGAGCAACAGTGGGTGTGATGGTCAGAGGTCCAATGTATCGTAACAGGGCGCCAGGAAGGCCGAGCAAACCGATCACCACTTCTATCAAGGAGGACATGATAATAGCACCTTGGATCTGAACACACAAGAAGGGGAAAGAGACAGCTCAGTCACATCTTACAAGCAAACCCCAATCATCTCTTTTTTTTGTGCTCTGGATTACAAACTGCAGTTAAAAGAATTCAGTGACACAGAAGAACTCAGCCAATTCTTTTCGTCATAAAACAGCTCATTAGGTTTAAGTGACTTATTGCTTAAGCATAACACTTATGGTTTTCTCCACAAAACTATTACACAGCAGACCAGTGGGCCAGTCTGGTAGTTGTGTGGATAGCACATGACACTGTCAGACAGGAGACCTGGGTTCCAGGCTAACCTTTAAGCTTTCAGATCGAACCGGCAAGGGTTGCTGGCGCCACGGAGGTGATGCTCCTAGCTCCTAGGGGCAGAGTGTATGCTGCATTGTTCACAAGTGCTCCTTAGAAGCTGGGATAGAGCAGCGTTGTGGTCTCAGGAGACTGTCAGCCCTCTTGGCTGCAGGGCTCTTGGCAGGATGTAGCTATGGTTTGAACATGGGGAAGAGAGAGGGGTTGTTTTTAAATAAGAAAAAGGTTTGCAGCCCAAAGCAACGGGATGGGAGATAAATTCCATGACACACGCCTTAATTTGGACTACTCTATCTACCACTCTAAGTGGGATGCCTGGGCACAACCCCCATCCTGGGCTCTGCAGAGCATGATGAGGTTCAGACTGCAGTGCTGCGAGTGGAGAAGGAGTTGGATCTATTTCAGCAAGTCTCTTGGGAGAACCAACACCTTATCAGAATAGTCTCCAACTTAAGACGCTTAGGGATGAACCGGATTTGCTAGCTGCATAGTTACCTTCCATGGGACAGCCTACTGGACAGTGACAGCAGGCAAGTGGTCTGGTAGCAGCTGAACTGCTGCCAGTGAGCACAAACTGCAAAGAGAATTCATCTCACTTGTGCGTTTGTCTGAGCATCTTTTGGAATGTGGGAACTAGCTCCTTGTATTTGCTGTCCAGCAATGAACAAGTGGGAGAGATGAAGGCTTCCAGGAAATGAGTAAAGGGATATAATCAAATGAAAATCACAGTGAAAGAAGAAATCATCAACTTAAAGACGAGAACACGCAGATGGTTAGGTGAGAACTTAACTGGAATTGGACACATCAACAGCTAAAGGCTACTCCTACATTACCTCTCGTATTCTGGGATACCAGATGTGCTCAGTGTGAAGCAGTTCTGTTGTTCCATTTGTAACTGTTAGATCTTACAAAAAGAAGAGAAGAAAACACAGGGGTTTATTCCTTGGCCACTCTGACATCACGTCATACAATTAAATCTCTCCTTAGGCTGTGTCTGACAAGTGAGCCTTCATTTACACAGGATAAAAGTTCTGCAAGGCTACAAATCAAGTAGGAACGTGGTTACATTCCCCAAGAGCTAACCACTAATTTTATCCACTGTCCCAAAGAGGAGAAAACATCACAACTTTCACAAAGAAAGGACCATTAGGGATTCCTTTCCCACTCCACTAAACAGATGAATGGAGAATTACTCAACTGCACACAAGGAATCAAGCACTCCAACGTCTCTTGTTCACCCATTCAGGTCACTCACTGCCTGATGAACTGACCCGTGGTAACAACCCCATCTGACACCTTTGGAAGGTTAAAAGGTTCAAGAGCAAGATGCAGCAAAGGCTCCTTTTGAAAAGCTGAAGTAGTGGAACAAATTGCTTTGCCATCAAAGGTTATCAGGCAGAGTTTGCTTTCAACAAGGTTTGTATAAGGATAGTGCCACATTTTGGTGCACAGAAACCTCCAACACTTACTAAAGAACACCACGCTTTGCTTTTACCACTCAGGCACTGAAACCCCTGGGCTACTTCCCACTAGCTACATCTGACTCCCCAGTGGGAAACTGTGAATGCCCAAAGCTAAGTTTCTATAGGGAAAAAAAAGCAGGAAAACTAATTAGATGGCCAGAAGTGAATTAAAAGAGATGTATAAACATGTAAATAATACCAATATACACGATTAGAGCATCAAAAGGACCCCTAGGGAGAACTTTAGTTAGAAGCAAGCAGCTTTCTCTATAATCCTGTCTCACACTGCCCACAGCCTTACTGAATAGCCATTCCCCATTAAAATAACAGAGCTATTTCCACTTTGGTTTTCTGACCCGTCAAAACAAAAGCCCCTTCCCAACCAGTTCTACTACACATCTGCACTCTGAAGAAAATCAAAACCTTTCAGGGTGATGATGGTAGCAGAGGAAAAGTTAAAATGAACATCCAAATACTGCCAAATCTTGCTCAAAAAAACCTAATGGTGGGAGTTAAATAGGTTAAAATAGTGGTCTTAAGGTGATGCTGAAACTTCCTACTACTCTACTCAAAAGCACTTGACTGGACTCACTGTATCCTAATACCATAAAGGACCATTTACAGAGCCCTTCCTTTATCTACGTTCTTAACAAAAGAACTGTTTCATGCTAGACTGTCTCTTGTCAGCATTTTTTATATTCTCCCCCCCCATAATTCCACAAAGGCATTTTTAGGAATCTTATTCCACAGCACAGAAGTTTTAACATTGTTAAAGGAGAGAACGTTTCACATTCCATGCTCATTACTTCCAGTTTCTGTATCAAAAGGTCTGGCAGTTGCACTAGATGTGATCTGGGTCATTCGTCACTTAAACCTGAACAAGCATAAATGACAATTACCTGTGTTATTACACTTCCACTTCTCCAGGGACAGTATTGCTCTAGCAGGTGCTAAGAATGCAAAAGCACTCGCTTGAAACAAGGGTAACCTGGTGGAAAGGGAAAGAAGAGACACTGACATTTCTCGCTGTTATGGTCCTGTGTCAGGATATCGGTTACAATTGGGGGTTACTCATCCTCAAACCCATCCTTCATTGGGGGTTATTACAAATGTGATGTATGAGAGTTTCTGATTAAAAAGAACAGCCACAGAAATGACATACTAAGACTTCACAAACCCAAGACCTGACAGAAGACGCTATGCATGAAGTTAATACAACCCTATAACAGCTTATTACCAGCACAGATACCAGACCCTGGCTGGGTTTGACTCAGCAGCACAAGGATACAGATGCACAGGCTGATGTAAGTACCAGCCCCAGTGCTGAGCATGCAGCTTTTACCATCCTGCCACATCAGAAAAGCTCTTTAGGACAGTATGCAGCCTGCATACTCAATGCCTTCCCTCTGCATGACTTGGAGTACAGTCACTTACACATTCATCTTTAAGTGTATGTGTAAATAACTATTAGATTGATAAGAGCTGATTAGATGTTCCAGGTGGCTACCAACAATAAACACAAAGGCTGCAAGAATTTCAAGATGACATTCTTAACATTGGTGGTTACACTTCCCAAAAGGTTCAAGATCTAAAGAGCATCTACCAGCACCAACTACATATTCACTGAATCAGCCAGAGCTTGCATAACAACACAAATATCCTGCTGTTACTTAACTCCAGAGATGCACTTTGAACTATTCTATAAATACTGTCATTAATGGGTTGCAATAAGATTCTCTTTAATAGCAGATCTCAAACTCGTAACGCATGAAACACTTAACTGCTCCTGAGGCTCTAGTTACTGCTCCGTGTTTATGGCTGGTTTACAGCCGCAATGAAGTGCCTCAACACCAGGGCAAACACTAATAAAGGAGAAAGAACTAACTGTAGTAGCTTAAGATAAAGATCAGAAAAGGCACAAAGAAGGAAAAAAAGAACTATGGGGGGAAAAAATCCTATACAAGCTTAACACGGAAAAGATCAAACCAGACGTGTGTTACTAACACTGGTTGTAAAGTTCACAGGCAGGGAGCTAAAATAGTTGTACTACCACTAGAAGGGAGTTTGAACAATGTAAAAAGCTGCCTCATCTACAACAAATGGTGAAAACTGCATTAGAAAGTCCAACTTCATCAAATTAAAGAAAACAAAGCTTTCTCTTTAGTGAGGAGCCAGTGGGTAGCTACAAGTGAATGATTCACCTTATTTTTCAAGGTTCATCGAGCAAAGCCAGCAAGCTGGTGCCCATGGCAAAACATGCAATACCTGCAACAAGCTGTTACTCCTCTGACCACCTACACAGTCCTCTGTCCCCCTCCTAATGATTTGGTAAATATACATTGCAAACACATTCTCCACTGATGAAGTCAGTTGTACTGAGACCCGGGTCCAGACTGTGAGGTCTGTAACTCATGAAATACCCTGCACACATATTGAGTCATAAGATCTTGGCACTTGTGGCTTAGCTACTCACTCAACCTTTATATGAGGGTGATGAATGTCCTGCAGGCTGATGAATGCAGACGATGGCACTGCCCGAGAGCTCCATCCTGAATGCCCCATCCCTGGCAGTGCTCAAGGCCAGGCTGGATGGGGCTTGGAGCAAGCTGCTCTAGTGGAAGGTGTCCCTGCCCATGGCAGGGGGTTGGAACTGGATGAGCTTTAAGGTCCCTTTCAACCTTCTTTAAAATCATCCAACCAAGATCAGGCTCTTGCTGAAGAGACAGTGGCAGCTTGGATCATGACTTAGGAATTCCATTTCCCATTGCTAAGCCAGGCATTCATTACTAGCTGGGTAAAGGATCACCAAGCTTATGACTGGGATACCACTTTAATGTCATGTCTATAAATTATGAAGCTGTTCAGTTTTGGCACTATCCCTTGTGAAGACAGAGCTTTTTATGCAGTTAAAGCCATCTGGAAATGTCTTCATTATCCAAACGTGTCACACAGATGTAGGAATGCTCAATGTCGTGCTGAGCACAGAAACAAACCTGAAACACTTAGGCATATTCAGGATGTATGTGAGGTATAGTAAAGCTGTATGCAATTGTCTCAGTCATAGTAATGACTCTGAATCCTTGCCAGATCTTTTGGCTTATTACATCATCTACCAAATAGCTTGAATTCCTAAACTCAGTATGGGTACCGAACCAACTCCACCTCACAACTGAGCTCAATCCATCTTTAAGGGCCTTCAAACCATGGAATTTGACCTTTTGAAACCCTCGTGGCTTTATTTGCTGAAATACTTTGCAGTTGACAGACTTGCCAATAAATACTTCAAAATCTCATTCAGACAACATCACTGCTAGATCCCGTTCTCAGCCTTACATAAAACCCGAATCACATGTTAAAGAGTTATAAAACCATGGAAGTTTCCTCCTTAAATACATATTCACTTATTTTAAGACCCAAACCCAATTGCCTCTTCAGCAGCTGAATTAGGACTTCACAGTGCAAGTGGAAGTGACTGGATAAAACCCCCAAGACAACAAAACCACCGCATCACAGACTGCAGAGGTGGGATTATACAGAAGGAACAGTGGATTTCAAACTGAATGGACCACACTGGTTTCTGCAAGATCCTCAAATCACTCTGTAGCAAGTAATAAAGAGCCCGAGATTAGTTAGAGGGGGTGAAAACCAACCAAGATGAGACAAACTTGAGTTCTGTGAAGAAATACAAGTGTCAGGAAGCGTAAAAACTAAGGTTTTTCTGCTAAATTTGAGGCAGAAGAAGAAAACTGGTAGAAGTCCAGGCAAACAAAGCACCTTTGAGTTCATCTCCACCCACAGCTCTGCACTTTTAAACTGCATGAGTTTAATCTTCAGTAAATCCAGGGAGGAGACACTCAGAGCTGAACAATGAAAGTCCTTATCTTCCAGCTCCTGCCTAAGTCAACAAGCCCTCGATTCCCTACATACAGCACAAAGGGATGGGGGGGAAGAAGAATACATCACTCCCACTAAAAGAGAGGTTCAAACCACCAAAGGGCATGACTGCGCTCTTCTGCCTCCTTTCAGATGAGGTACTTGAACATTTACTGCTATAAGTAAGGCAAGCTGCCCTATGAGCACACACAAGAGAGCCAAGCAGGCAGAAAACAATGATTAACTGCAGGTAGTCTTGACTAAAGAGATATCGGGAGGGAAAATCTTCTCTTTCAGCTATTTTCATGATGCTGTTTCATCATCAGAATAAACTTTACATACAAAAGAGCAGTGATTAAGTTACAAAAAAAAAATAAAGGGGTTTTTCAGAGGACTGAAAGCACAGAAAAGCTCAATAAAATGAACTAAAAGAACAACTGAAGATTGCATTAGAAAACCTGAAATCTATGGAAAAATTTGAGATGAAAAGCTGATCTACAATTTCAAGTGCTCTACCATGGGCTTGGCTGTCTGCACCCTATGGAGGCTCTTCCAACTAAGATTCAGCTTCTTAGCTAAGGGAAAGGGGAGTATGTTCATCACTGAATCCCAGACTGGGCTGGGTTGGAAGGGACCTTAAAGCTCCTCCAGCTCCAACTCTACGACGGGCAGGGACCCCTTCCACTGGAGCAGCTTGCTCCAAGCCCCTGTGTCCAACCTGGCCTTGAGCACTGCCAGGGATGGGGCAGCCACAGCTTCTCTGGGCACCCTGTGCCAGCGCCTCAGCACCCTCACAGGGAAGAGCTTCTGCCTAAGAGCTCATCTCAGTCTCCCCTCGGGCAGGTTCAAGCCATTCCCGTTGCCCTGTCCCTACAGGCCCTTGTCCATTTTCTATTGGAACTCAAGATTTCAGCTCACGTTGTACAAATAAACGACCTATGAATCATTTAAGTAACTACATGAGGGCATACCCTTAAATATGCCCTTTTTTTCTCATTTTAGTTATCACCCTAGTTTTATTCAAGAAGATACAGAAATCACTCAAAGGTTTTAGCTATTCCCGGTTCTCACAGGCAGTGTCAACACCAGTTGAAGTGAATATGTCAAACACCTCTCAGTGCCTATTGCAGAACATGAGTTTTTCAAGAAGCATTTATCTTCATGTTCATAAAACTTAAACATCCTGCTCCTTCCCACACCAGCTTTTTACAAGTATTTGCTAATGCCTGAATGGGTCTCTTGCATCTTCCTAAGGAGAGCAGACACAAGAAGAGGTACAGGCATCATTGTAAAGCTACATATCCATGTGTGTTTGTTCCCAACTGAAGGATCATGACCTGCAGCTCAGAGCAAATAAAAACGAAGGAGTTGCTTGTGTTGGAAGGTAACAGACACTTGGGTTAGAGAATTAAAGGTTCCCTCATCAGTTTTCATGCTCTTTTTCATTTGACAAGCCCTTTACAGACACAAGCACACAAACTGCTGTAGCACTAATCACAGCAATCTAAATATTGGCACAATTACAGTAGCACTCAAGAAACCAGTACAAATATCAAACTCTGTTCCTCTTCACCAAGGTGTATGAGGTTTTCCTTTCCCCTAGAAACCCTTCCAGTTTCTCTGTCCTCATAAATTTCCCTCCTCTAATCCTTCCCCCTCCCTGCTGTATTTTCTTACCCTTGGAATACCTTCTGTGATTTCAGATTCACCTTTTTTTTGGGAGCAGCTTTCCAACCACTTTCCCTAACTGCCCTGTATTTGACCTGTTCTCTTGGGTTTCATGTGTATCCTTTGAAAATAGATTACCTCCCTCTTGGATCTTGGCTAGCAACCTGGAATTCCCAACAGCTATCTAGTCTTATCACCATCTCAACACCCAGACACCAGTCTCAAGTCTCACCTGCACCCAAAAGTCGTTTGCAGCAATGTAGTGATGCCCACACAGAAGAAAATGGTCCCAATCAACTGGCTGGTAGCCCACTGGTCAAATCCAACACACATGGCATCAGCTAGCAGAAAGGGCACTGCTATAGTTCCACTGAAGCATGTCAAGTAATGCTGTGAAGAGAAAAAGGGGTTGGTAATACTGCAGCCAATCACAGAATCAATCAGGTTGGAAAAGAGCATGAATACCATCGAGTCCAACCATTACCCCAAGGCCACCACTAACCCATGGCACTCAGGGCACTGTCTACAGAGTATTAAGAAGTAAATACACTTATGACCACCTTTTCTTTTGTTTTGGCTATTTCTGTTCCTGAATGAGCCACCAAAGCTCCCACTTCCTGCTCCTAAGCATTTCTTCAATATATTTTCTTCCATGCTGAGCTGCCACTGGCCTGTTGCTAACAATGCTACTGCTATAGGATGAACTAGGGTGTTTGACTAGCTACATGGCTACTGCTCTTGAGGAGGAGGTATCTAGGTAACTGCACTGAAAACAGCTTCTAACTCAGAAAAGCAGATAAATAACTCCATTCACTTTCAGCCATGTGAAAATAACATCAGCTTACAAATGAACTTAAGGGCACACATAAACTAGGATGCAAATAAGCTCCGAAGTACCAGAAACTAAGTACTCGTTACTATTTCTTCAATTCAAATACATTAATTCTTCTTCAATTCAAATACATTAATTCTTCTTCAATTCAAATACATTACTACTTCTTCAACTCAAATAACATGAAGCAAACAAAACCCAAGAATCACCACATTCAACAAAAGTAAAAATATAATCCCTACAGAATCCCTGCTGTGTGCCCTTGAGGAATGGCAGAAATAAAAAGGATGTTTTGGAATGTATTTGTTTGGAGATCTCAACATACTTTACAGATATTAACAAATTCTCAGCATTCCTCTGGGATAGATATTGTTACTGTTCATGAAAGAAAGGAGAGGAAAGAGCTGTTCTGCTTCAAACAAGTGTGTGGCTGAGCTGGCAGTAGGGTCCAGCTCACCACCACAGTCCTACTCCTTGCAGGAATGCTATGCTTCCACGCCAGGGAGTACAGAATTTGCCTGCCTTGTCTAGCAGTGAGCCTACAGGTCCAGGGTGATGCTATCAAGCTTGCAGAATGGAAATGACTACAGCAGCAGCTTTAATAGCCAAGAGCTCAGAATTAAGCCGTTCTCTCTCCCCCCATCTTTAGTTCCAGAGGTACCAAATGTCACTTTCTGAAGCTTACCACTTTGCATTTGCTCCCTTATTTACTAACAGCAGCTTAGAAGATTAAATGTTTAAATGAATCTCACAAATGCATAAGCAGCAAACAGTAATATAGATCAATATCAACACAGTAACCTTAGTTTCTGCTGAAGGTGATCACCCACTATCTTAACACCTCCTTCAGACAAGTTAGAGTGGGAAGAATGAAGTGATCACACATACAAATGCAATGAACTACACAGAAAACACGAAGCAAGGTCTAAAAGTGACAGAGGGAAAATTACAGCTGGTTTAGAACATACCTGTAACCCCAAAAATATGCAGAGATACCAGGGAGGGACGTCTTCGATGGTGTAAATCATGTCAGTTCTCTGGGCATCTAAACTGCCGCTGCTGTCCAGTGTCTCTGCCAAAGAGCTCTGTTTGACACGAGGGTGAAGAAGTGGATTAGTGTTACCTATGAATAAACTGAATGGGAACTGTCAGGCAATTCCCAGATACTCTCAAAACCAGTGTAATAGTCCCAAGCAATGCTGATGTGTGGTGTTTTTCAAGCCTTTAGCTACGATACCTTCTCATCTCCAGCTACTGAACTTGTACCAAACACATTCACTTCTCTAAGCCAGCCCCTGTGGATTTACACTAACACAACTGTTCATTTATGAGACATCCAATCTGGCAGCCAAAAGGTGCCCCAAAACCAGGACTGTCATGACACAACTGTTTATTAAAGTCAAAAAGGAAGAATGAGAACTAAGCAGAGAGTTAACAACAGCAATTTTCAGAGCAGAATGGCTATCCTTGCATAAGAGACCAAGATCACAGGCAAGACAGTTCCTCATTCCAGTAATTGCTTCCCCACTTCATTCTTACTCAATTCCAGCCCTGGTTAACCTTTTTGAGCCACAGGATTTATTAGTTTTGCTTCCAACCCGCATTGAAGCAGTGAGGAAAACACTGTTCATTATAACTAAATACACCCATGGCCTATTCCTATTAGCCAAGAGGACTTCCTCCAAACCTACAGGAATTTAAGTGAGACCACATTCTGGCCTAGCATGTGCCCTCGTTTGCAGGGAGCTAAGAGACAACTGACCACACATATACATGCAGCAGAATCCCTGCAGCTTCTCCATTAAACCAGGACTGAGCTCAATCGTTCCTTCTTCACAACTAAGTGGAATCATTTCGTTCCAACTCTCCGGTTTGGAAATTCCTGAGGATGAGAACACAATGCTCCAAAGCTTCAACACTACCACCAGAAGCAGAAGGAAGCATCATTTCAGCTTAACTAACCCAAAAAATACCTTATATAACTACTGTCCTGACCTAATCCACACTAGAACATAACAACCTCCTGTGAAGCAGCCTTACACAAAAATGGGGAACTTGGCCAGGCTTGTGACTTTGCCTCAAGAGGTCTTTCCTGCTTCAAAAATCACAACCCATCCACAGATTGTGCTTAGATAATCTCCCTTTGGTTTATCTTCTCCAAGGTCACGGAAGCCAAACTGAGCCAGGGCATTTCCTTCTTATCTCAGGTTTCTGTTAGTAAAACAAATGCCATTGGGTTCATTCCAATTCAGGGAGTGCAAGTGACCGCATCACTATGGAAAGGTTGAGGGTATCACAGTGGAAAAGCAAAATACAACAAAACTAATATCAGAAAACACTTTCAAACAGCACCAAGCACTGAGCAAGCTCCTCACCAAGGTGAGTTTAAATAAGGTGCAAGTCCTAAATGGAGGAGCAAGGAAACGGTTCACTGCACAACTCATCTTGCCAACTTGCAGCACTGATGTCTGTCTTCCTGCAGTCAAGGAAGGAATGACACTCTCCTGATCTGAAACACTGACAAAGCTAAAGAATCAGGAACTTGAGTTTTAGAGCTTCACCTCCTACTGGAAGGCGAGCACTGAGCAACCTGCACGCATCTTGTACACCTGCATATCCTCATGCATCCCAAGCACAACGCCAGGCTGGTCAGAGACTGGATGGGAACAGCCCTGAAAATCACAGAATCCCAGACTGGTTTGGGTTGGAAGGGACCTCTAAGCTTACCCAGTTCCAACCCAATGCCACGGGCAGGGACACCTTCCACTAGAGCAGCTTGCTCCAAGCCCCATCCAACCTGGCCTTGAACACAGATAATGGCTAAAGGGAGCTAACATGAAAGAGACCAAGACCAAACAGTGAGGAATTGGAGAGCTCAGGTGAGGTCTGGCTCTCACTGCTGTGGGTAAGTCACTGGGTAGTCATTGGCCCTCTCATATCTTAAGCATGTGCCTGCTGGTTTAATGTACTGCTGGTACTTGCCAAGTATGCCATAAGGAACTGCTGGGAACAAACTGCACCTTCTTGAGGGAGATACCAATCAGAGACTAATTCTTTTTAACTGGCCAAGGGTGGGACAACACAAAAAGGAATAAAAAGCACAGAATAAGTATAAACAGGGGGAGCATCTGTTTGTGAGTCAATGTAAGCACTGGGCATCCTCCAGCAATTCAATACATTCCTCTTTGTTACAGGCTTTTTAATCAAGGTCTTCCATTTGCCTTTCTGGTGAATGATCTCTCGAGAGGGATGGAAAGCCACGAAGATGCTTCACGCACACACTTATTTGAAGTGAAAAGCAGGAGGTTTGCCCAGATTACCAGAAATATTATCTTAATAGATGAGGCTTCAACTGCTGCAGCCCCGGCTTTCACTGTTCATTCATTATAAGCCACAGCAAAGCTCAAGCCACAGCACAGCACAGCCACACTCAAGCAGATTTGGTTGATTAAAAGCTCGTGGTCTCTTTAAGGTGAATTATCAACAGTCATTTACCGTTCTGATCACATGGATCAAGTGGAAGGGAAAGAAACATGGTAAAAACAGGCCATGAAGACATGCTTCAACGTCTAGAGATCGCTTATCTTGGTTGCACAACTCCATTCAAGCACCTTTTGCTCAAGGCTTTTTATCAGATTGTTTCTCTCCACGCTAGTCTGAGCATGCTCCAAGGAGCAGCCACCACAGACACTGCAGGTAGGCAGTTGCCAAAATGGGCTCATGAGAATATCAGCATGATCAAGGTGGTAGCAGGGAGTACTTGAGGCATACAGGCAGACCATCCCTAACCGTGCGTGAAAGCACACTGTGGCATTCCTAACGTTCTTTGCAAATACAATTTGGTCAAGTTGAGGCTTTTTGGAGATAAGGCTTAACCACAAAGCCAAGCAGATACAAAAAGGTGAGGTTCAGATTTACTGTAATCCTCTTAATTTAAACAGCAGTTCAGATTCACACCATAGCTACTTGGAAGGATGTTATTGAACAGGCATAGGGAATGATGGAATTGAGAAAAAACCTGGAAAAATCACAACTGCATTGAATCATGTAATCAGCCACGTTGGAAAAGAGCTTTAAGCTCATCCAGTCCAACCATTCCCAGCACTGCCAAGGCCACCACTAACCCATGGCACTGAGGATGTGTGAACACTTGCAGGGACGGTGACTGCAGCCCTGCCCTGGGCAGCCTGTTCCAATGCCTGAGCACCCTTTGGGGCAGGAATTGTTCCTCAGCTCCATCTAAACCTGCCCTGGTGCAGCTTGAGGTCAGTTCCTCTTGTCCCATCCCTTGTTCCTTGGGAGCACAGCCTGACCCACCTCACTACATCCTGCTGTCAGGCAGCTGTAGGGATGGTTATGGTCCCTCTTCAGCCTTCTCTTCTTCAGACTAAACAACTCCAGTTCCCTTTGAGGCCTCAACTGCGTTGTTGATCCTGAATAATCTAAGATACAACCATCAATATCTTAAGGAAAAATGTTCCAGGGTTTTTAGGAATGACCTGAAATTCATTCATAAAGGTGCCACTCTATGATAATAACTTGGAAAGATGACTAGAAAACTTAAGTTTATGAGGTTGGAGCTTGGAGGAAAGAGAATGAGAAAGCTTCTGCTTCTGAAGGTGCTCAATACTACCAGTTTCCTTGACTAAATGCAGAAGTAGTTAAGGCCTGAAGAACAGCACAGAATGACCTTACCACAGAAATCATGCAAAAGGCCAATGGAAATGAAATCAGAAAACTGCCTATTACAGATTTTGGTGCCAGGTCAAAGTGCTTCTAACATCTGCTGAGTCACTCCCTGTGTTCTGCAACCAAAATGTGTGACTGGGAGAGTCACAAGGACACAACTCCCCCAGGCCTGATCTGAATCTGCAAGTCAGCATGGCTGATGGGAGAAAGGAAATCTCTTAGCCCAGTAAAACCAGTGTGGACAAATAAGAGAACCGAGAAAGCAAGAATGAGTTCTCACCTAGAAGGAAAGCACTACGTACCTTCTCTGCTATGCCATTTTCTGTAGTATAGATGGCCATCAGCTCGGTGTCTTCTGTATCCTGGTCACCACTGGATGTTGCTCCACCATTTATCACCACCTTGGAAATAAAACAACAGGAAAAAGAAACACAAGATCTTCAAATGAACATTCTGCTTGGAATCCTGGTACTTGACATCTTCTCATAAACCATTACAAGCATGGCAAGCAATCATTTATATTCCTAGACATGCTATAGACAGGCATCACATACAGCTCCTCAAAGCCTGGACAGTGTCCACTGAGGGTGGGAAGAAACCATCAGGAGACTGATGGGAAGAGTTCTTAAGAGGCAGATGTGCACAAGAGAATGATACAACAGAAAACCTGAAAGAAAAAGACAGCAAATATTTGTTGCCTCCTCCTCTTAGTCAAACAAATCAGGACATAACCAGGGGCTGGTGCCTTCTGCAGTAGACAGTCAACAGTGGGACAGGGCTACAGCATTGGTGGATGAGGGAAGAACGACTGATGCCATCTACCTGGATTTCTGCAAGGAATTTGATGACACTGTGCTTCACAATATCCTTGTCTCTAAACTGAAGAGACATGGACTTGATGGATGCACCACTTGGCGGATAAGGAATCGGCTGATGGTCACACTCAAAGAGCTGCAGTCGATGGCTTGATGTCAAAGTGGAAATCAATGATGAATGGTGTTCTTCAGGAGATGGTGTTGGGACTGGAGCCATTTAATATCTTTGTGAGTGACATGGACATGGGACTGAGCACGCTCAGCAAGTTTGCCAATGACACTGAGCTGTGTGGTTTGGGTGACACACTGGAGGGAAGGGATGAGATCCAGAAGGACCTGGACAGGCTGGAGAGGTGGGATCATGGAAATGTTATGAAGTTCAACCAAGACCAAGTGCAAAGTCCTGCCACAGGGTCAGGGCAATCCCCAGCACAAACACAGGCTGGGGGTTTTGTGTGCTTGAGCCCAGAACCTCCCCATGTGCTGGGCTGCATCCCCAGAGTGTGAGCAGCAGCTCAGGGAGGGGATCCTGCCCCTCTGCTGTGTGAAGGGGAGACCCCCCCTGCAGCCCTGATCCAGCTCTGGGGCAGCAGCACAAGAGGGACGTGGAGCTGTTGGAGCGAGGCCAGAGGAGGCCACGGAGCTGCTGCGAGGGCTGGAGCAGCTCTGCTCTGGAGCCAGGCTGAGAGAGCTGGGCTGGGTCAGCCTGGAGAAGAGAAGGCTCCTCAAGGGGAGACCTTAGAGCAGCTCCAGTGCCTAAAGGGGCTGCAGGAAAGCTGGAGAGGAGCTTTGGACATGGGATGTTCAAGGCCAGGTTGGACACAGGCGCTTGGAGCAAGCTGCTCTAGTGGAAGGTGTCCCTCCCCATGGCAGGGGTTGGAACTGGATGAGCTTTAAAGTCCCTTCCAACCCAAACCATGCCACGATTCTAACTGTTCTCATGAGGAGCTGCCTGGGGTGTTGCACGTCCTGTGACCAGCACTGCTTTAGAGCACACGTATGAAATAACCACAGACACCATAATTGGCCATGTTTATAGATAAACAACAAGTGGCAAAGGAGGTTTCAGTAACTACAGGTGGAAATGAACACTTTGCACAACACAATTAGAGCAAAGCATTATTAACCCGTTCGCACTGAGCTCGACCATGCAGTACCTGGATGTGTTACTTACAGGCAGGGTGAAAAAGGTGGGATGTTTAGTTTCATCCTCATATTTGCCTTCTGTCGAGCCTCCTGCCTCCACTGATTTTGAAGTGGTATTCTTACCAATCCCCATCGTTTCCAGAACGTCAAGGACTTGCATACAGCCCCCAAGGGGATGCTCTGGGGTGAGGGGCCAAGGACTAAGGACAATTCCTTATTCCCACAGCAGCACGTCCAGGTATCTCTGAAATGCTCAGTAATCCAGCTGGGGCATCGGAGTTGCTCTTTTAAGTATCATTAGCATCAATGGCACCTGGAATTGAAGAGAGAAATTCATTTTTATTTCATCACCCAAGATATATGTACAAAGACTTGTGCCCTGCAGCCCTGGGTCCCTTTCACACTCATGACTCACCAACTCTTATCATTCCTTTTTGATTTGATCATTAACAGATGAGCATTTAAAGTTGATGGCATTTTAAGGTTCTTTCAGGATGGGAATGTGCTGATTATTCCCTCAGTCTTCTCTTGTGGTGTTCAATTATGTTGAAGCCTTGATCTTGTTTTAATATCACAGTTATTTCCATGGCATTTTTGGGGAAGAAAGCACTCCTGTACCCCAGCTATGCAGCAACAGAGGACAGTTTGCTATCGAACATCCATTGAAAACATTACTTGTGCTGTCAAAGAGTGTAAATGTGTAGACTTACTCAAGTCTACCTCTGTGTAACTAAACCCTTCCTTTTCAAACAACCCCTTTTGAAGTCAAAAGCTTCCAGGAAGCTTAGACTAAAGGGACAGTGAAGCACAGCTGAGTGCAGTATTTCAGAGAGGAACACCCTCACCTGAACTTAGCTCAGTGGCATGAGGGATGCTCAAAGTCATCTGCCTGGTGATGCTGAAGCAACTGCTTCAGGATAAAACTGTGTATTTAGTACTATGTAATTAGCAGCACTTCTATTTTGGCACAGGAACAGGGAAGATCATACAGTTTACTGGTTCTTTGCTTTTCCCAAGTGGGTCATTACATCACAGTCCCCACATCTCCTCCTTAACTTGTACATGCCAGTCCAAGGTCACCTACACTTGTGCCATTTCCAGCACTAAGGAGCATGAATGAAGGGATTTGAACCTCAGTTTCCCACAGGACAGCACAGAAAAGCTTGCAGCAAACCCAGTTTGCAGTCTGTGGTTCCTGGGCTTCAAAGAAGAAAGCACAGTGCAGATGGCTGAGGTGAAAACAAGTTCTGGTACAGAGGAAAGTACATGACAGAACCCTAAGAATGGCCTTTTCTAACTCATAGCAAGATAATGGTATTTTAAACTCTTCATCAGGGCCTGCAGGGACAGGCCAAGGGGAATGGCTTTAACCTGCCAGAGGGGAGACTGAGATGTGCTCTTAGGGTGATGGGACACTGGAATGGGTTGAATGGAGAAGCTGTGGCTGCCCCACCCCTGGCAGTGTTCAAGGCCAGGTTGGACATGGCTTGGAGCAAGCTGCTCCAGTGGAAGGTGTCCCATGGAACTGGACGATCTTAAGATTCCTTCTAACCCAAACTGTTCTGTGACTGCTAGAGGTGGAAATGCCACTAAGGAACATTCAAAAAACACAGTTATGTAGGTATCAGAAACCCCAAAAAGCGGGGTTTGGTTTCTTTCTTAAGCTTCTCTTCCAAAACGTGGCTCAGGAGTTTGGATGTCAACTGGAATGGCAATAAAACAAGACTCGATGTCAACTGGAACGGCAGTAAAACAAAACCAGACAAAGATCCTTCAGCCAGGGTACTGGGTGAGAAACTACCAAGTACTGATGCTTCAGAACCTCTTCATAGCTGTTAGTTGCCCATTTGCTAAAAAATTCTGGTTCTTTCAGGTTAAAGAGAGATTCATCTTTCAAAGCAATCTCACTTTTCAAGAGAAAACAGCTGGACCTAAGAAACAGCACTTGGGCACTGAGATACCCTTGAGCACTCCTAACTAAACCCAAATGGAATGCAAAGTACTGCCTTCAAATAAGGGTTTCATTAAGCCTTGTTTCCTAAATATTAAGAGCATAATCAGCTATTTCTCACTTAAGACTGAAGGAGCAAACCAGTTTGAGTGCTCACCTGAAAGAAAAAGGCATCCCCATTTCTCCAGTAACCACCGACTTCTCATCATAAGCGCCAATCTCCAGACATGAAGAGCAATGTTAAATTAGTTTGTCTGCTTCCACCTCAAATCCCTTTAGGAACCTTCCTCTCCAGGCTGCCTAGGCAGGCCTGGGAGTGATATGAGCAGGTTAGAGGCAAGAGGCAGGTACCAGGTCAAGGTTTGGAGGCAGGAGGGGTGTCTGGGGTGGGGTTTTTGGAGGGGGTTTGTTTGCTTCTATTGTAAAGGGTGAAGGATTTTGTTGAAGCACACATGAAAAAACAGAAAAGAAAAGCATTTGCCTTCTTCTGTCAACGGAGACAGGTTTTATTCTCCAAGAAAATCAGTGATGGAGACAGGCGTGGTTTGGTCTGGCAGCTTTATCATCTCTCATTGGAAAGGAAAAGGGAAAAGGTACAAGGCACAACTACACCTCCCTAACAAATGCAGCCATGCCAATAAACCACCACTGAGAGAGTTACACCAGCAGGAAACCTGCCATCAAGGAGAGCTGCTTTAAGGTTTTCTGGCATGATAAGCTTCTTAGTTAGCATTAACTAACATCTCCACTGATGCAAAAGAAAAGACCACATAATCCTATTTCGCTTCGCATTGCACAACACTAAGACTGCTATCTTCTCAAAGAAGATGGGATCCTTCCTTGGGAATTGGTCTTGAGAAGTACAGGAGGAGAGGACACACGAAAGCTGTGCTTTGGATTAATTCTTGAGTGCTGGAACACAACACCTACAATGACATTGTTTGGATGAGGGCTCCTGAATGGTGATAAAGAAGCAACTTCAAATTAACCGGTAAAACCAGCCTCATCAGCTGCTTTTCCTAGAAAGAGGGAAGGTGTTTTGTGTCCACACATGTACCTGCACACTAACAACAAACACGTGTCAGGGGAAGGGATTCAGGGAAAACAAGGAGAACAACCTTCCAAAATTTCCTAGCATTAATGGAACAGATGCTGAGATTTTCAGAAGACTTTTATGCTGCAATCAAATTGAACCAGAAATCCTTAGGCAGCAGCAGATCAGGGTATCTGAAAGGTATCATGCTTCTTTATCAAAGCTCTTACCCACTGAACATAGCTAAAGGAGGTGACTGACATTTTATTGCCTCCCCTAACAAATCCAACTGATCAAAAGCTGTAAAGTAATGGAAAACAGAGATAAACCTCATCCAGCATCAGCTAGGTGCACCCAGCACAATGCATTATCAGCTGCCCTGGATCAAACAGAAAGGCTACAAGTGAAATTTCCACGAAGACACTGATTAACATCCATCTTTTTCTAGACCAAATTATCTTCGCTGCTCATACATGATTAACCCAGGAAGGCCAAACGCTGACATGGGTGTACAAGGGCTTAGATAAGATGAGCATCAAGACAAGCAGCCTACTGCAGGGGATAGTCCAGGTACAAGTTCACCAGCGGAAAGCCCTTGTAGCCAGGGAAAGCTTTGCACCTCGACACCTTTGCCTTTACTCCACACACACAGATCTGGTACCATCAGGACAGGACACAAAGGCACTGCAGTGCCTGGTTTGACAATACGGTGCTTCTCACACTTTGCCTTTTCCTGACTCCTAACACCCCATTCCCTCTTTCACCAATTTTGTTTAAGCAAGCTCCCATGCATTTCAAAGTTCACTGCAAGAAAAAGGGATAGGAACCATCACAGAGTTGTACAAGTAAAACTGATTAAATGTACCTTTCTTTTTCTTGCTGTAGTTTCTGCCTTCAACTCATTGCTCTAGAACCTCTACCACAAACAAAAACCTGTTGTATACTCTGGAATATACAACAAAGATTTCATATAGAGAAACCTGCCTATATACCAAGGCAGGCTGGATGAAAAGCTTCTGTTTCGCAAGGTACCAAAGTGCATGCAAATCAGTCTAAAAGATACTTGGAAAACTCACCTCTTACTAGATTCAAGAGTTAACTTGGGCAGGACATAAAATAAACATAAAGAGCTTATTAACATGGGAAGGAAAAATGGACCATGAACCCCATTAAAGCCAACTGTAGTATGCACATCTTCTCCCTTGGAGGCGTTGTTTTCTTTAAAAGCAGCATCACTTGATATAGATTTTGGCTGAGCCACACTGCAAACGTTCCCTGCTTCTTTCATATGAGCCTGAGAACACCCAGTAATAACTACAAAAGGCATATAAAAACCCAATAAAAGTCAGATTTCCTGTAACGGCATCGTCTCTACAATGCTATGGTTGAGGGCCTTTAATGCTTGAATTCCGTGCTTGGCAACGCAAAGACTGGGAAAAACAAAACCAATGTGACCTCCAGACAACATGCTTGGGGAAAAAGCATGTTGGGGCCTTTCTGTTTGTTTGGGGGGTTTTAGCATCCATTAGAAGAGCCCACAGTTTCTTAGGTGTCATCAGACTGGCAGCACCAGAGCTGGTGTCCCATCACCCTCACAGGGAGGAGCTTCTGCCTAAGAGCTCATCTCAGTCTCCCCTCTGTCAGGTTAAACCCATCCCCCTTGTCCTGTCCCTACAGGCCCTTGTCCAAAGCCCCTCTCCAGGTTTCTTGCAGACCCCCTACAAAGGAGAATCCTAGCTAGTCTGAAAGGCAAGTGTATTCCCTCCTATCTCTTAGCATAGTAGAAGTTTCAACAGAATTACCTCAGTAGGTGCATTCCTCTGCACCTCAACTGTGGAAAATCAGGAATGTAGGTTAAACATTTGGTGGCCTTACACTGCTGTGCAAGGGAAATATTCATAAAGGAAGCACCAGAGGCGTGGTTCTAAAACGAGCTGGCAATGGAAAGAGAACATTCTTTAGAGCACAGGGGTGGAAGAGCTCCCAGGAGCACTAACAGAGGTACGGCTCCTGGTCAGCACATGTCGCACTGCCCCGAGGAAGGAACCAGGTCAGATCCAACCTGGGACCTTTTTGGCTTTTACAGATGGCTGAAGAGCCAAGAGAGCTCAGATGCATACAGTGAGGAGATCAGAACCAAGTTAAAGTGACAGCTTAATTACAATCTGCAGTGCATTGTCTGGAACGAGGTGTCAGGCTCGTGTGAATAACGATGACTTTCTCCTTCCAGCAGAGGTGATGCTCAGCCAGAAGCTGTCCAACCCAGCACCAGCCAAGGTCGGTTTTACACTTTAAATAAGCTCAAAACAATTGAGGCGAAGAGCCTCAACTGGAGCAGCACATCTGGAGTTCCCACACCTCCAGGAGCAGTTTCAAGTGTCTGGCATCTCAAATCCAGGCACGTGATGTGTTCAAACACAAATTAAGGCATCCCCTACATCCAAGATTGTGGTTTTGGTGAGAGACGTGGAAAGGACCCCCTGCACATCAGCGTGTTTTATCATTACAGCACACCAAGTCTGAGCAGAAGATAAAGCCAGTTTTAAAACCCACTCCATTTCCTCAGTACCCAATACTGTGAGCACGCCAGAGCTCTTTCTGGAACCACTGCGCTGCAGACTGTGGCTAAAGGTAAATGGTCAGTTCCTGTAACACTAGACAGCAATGAAGAATTTAAGGCAGAAATAAATGCACCCCATTTACTTTGTTTAGTGTTTAAAAAGTGCCTTTAGGCCAAGCAGCTAATACTGCTCCTACAGCACTAGGGACATAGAACCATAGAAAGGTTTGGGTTGGAAGGGACCTTAAAGCTCCTCCAGCTCCAAACCCTGCCACAGGCAGGGACCCCTTCCACTGGAGCAGCTTGCTCCAAGCCCCTGTGTCCAACCTGGCCTTGAACACTGCCAGGGATGGGGCAGCCACAGCTTCTCTGGGCACCCTGTGCCAGCGCCTCAGCACCCTCACAGGGAAGAGCTTCTGCCTTAGTTCTAAAATACAAGAAACCTGAAAAATGTATTTCTGAGAAGCTGCTCAAAAGCAAATAATACATTATCATGGGGATTTACACTAATAATGACCAAATCACAAGCAATCAAAACAGTAGCAACTTTACTACTCAAAGCTCTACAGAAAGTTGCTTGATGGTTTCCTACAAAGCAAAAAGGTCCTCCCCATTTCTAAGCATTCAACAAGTACCTCATAAGCAAGCCAACAAGTACTTAACATGATGCAACCAAAGTGCTGTCTAGAACCACAAGTTCAATTGCTTCACAAGTTCTTACATCTCCAGATGGGTACTCTGATACAGTGCCCACAAGGTCCTCAGCTCCACACTGCTCAGATACATACATGTGCCCAAAGGGCATCTTCTGAACCTTCCAAGGGGGTTTTCATCATCTTACAGACATGCAAAACACTGCACAGCACCCGTGTGGAATCTTCTGTTGCTACATGTAGAAACCATCTTCCCCCTTTAGTCCTAAGTAGAGCTTTTCCTCGGGCTATTTGGAAACTGAGCCTCTCTGGTCCAAAAAATACTCGTGGCTTGTCTTTACTAGGTGTCTCTTGCAGCCATGAAATGAAACTGCACCGAAATGCAGGGGGTTGGAAGTGGATGATCTTAAGGTCCTTTCCAACCCAAACCATTCTAGGATTCTATTTCCCTCAAACCCAACTATATCCCCACTTAAAGCAGAGCATTACGCTTCAAATTCCTAACACAACACTACGCAGACAGACACCACCGCCCTTTACCTGCTGTAGAAATGAAGTACTGCTAAACCTGCTCAAGCCACCTCACATTTCAGTTCTAAAACACAAGAGCTGATGGGCACTTTAAGAAGTTTCAGTCCTTAGTTTCTCCCCTCACTTCAAAGTAGGTCTTCAAAGCACAAACGGTTTCTTTCTTTGTAGGCACTAATGAATTTTTAAGTAGTTGGTATTTTGACTGCTATCCAATATAGAATGTCTTAACAACTGACCAACGTTATTAGGGCATGTCTGTACAAAGACACCCAGGAAAGTTATGCCGAGCTCCAACCTTCTGTTGATTTAAAGCACATTAGCTAAATCTCATTAACTTCCTTGTGTGAATGAGCTTGTTGAGGAGAGACTTAAATCCAACCGAGACGTTTAACAAAGCATCTCACAGCTTTCAAACTCCTCAAGTTATTTCATCAGAGCTCATTTAGGCTGTGATTCGAAACACAAATATCTGAAATATGAGTATTCCCAGTAAGTACAGGTCAAGCTCAAGGTGATTTTGGCCAAAAACATTGGTCAAGCTGTTCCACACTCATCTTTCACCCTGTTCCTCTCATTTTATTGTTCCAATAGGCAAGTTTCACCCAATTTCTGGGCAGCACATGCACTACCCTTCGCATGAGATCCAACCAGCGTGTTTGATGGTCTGTATTAACAGAGTCCTAATGAAGGACCAAGGAGGAACTATACAGAAGTCATAAGATAATGTTTCACAGAAGCAAGACGTAGGAGATAACGCTTTCACAGCTTGACATGAAGTGACTGATATCAAATGACATCTGCAGTGCTCTCTAGGTAGCAATGATGCTCACAGTAAATAAAGATGAAATAGTGGATCACTGTTCTTTATCAAACTCATCACTACTTTATAGTCTTACTTGCAGCACCACCTCTCTCACTGTTTATGGCACACATTCATCTGACTTATAATACAGTCCTCTTGGTCCCCCTGTGGAGCATTAATAACCTCAGAATTCAGCTACCTCCACATCATTATGGATATTAATACACAGTTCACTAAGCTCCTTCACAGCATTCCAAAAGCAACCTGAGCACACACTGGTTCCTTTCTCAGCTTTCTTTGTACTTGTACTTGGCACTTTGATGAAAGCTACTTTTTCTTTTCTTTCCAAGACCTTAATCACATTAAAACAAAGGTGAAGTTAGAGACTCATCTAGGAAAAATTCCATTTATTAAGCAAATCAGGGGAATGTGCCAACTTT